GGGGATGGTACGCAAAATGGCGACAGCAAAGTGTGACTGGAATAATCAGGAGGGGTTCGTACCTCGTCCGTGACCGGAGATACCGTCGACTGCGATGTCAGGGATGTCGGACGATCGAGCTCTGAGCCCGCGGTCGAGCCATTCTCAAATCTCGTAAAGGGCCGGGCTCGGGATTCCCCGGTCGGGAGACTCCGATCCAGAGATCGTTTGGGACTCCAGCTCGGGGACTCGTTCCGTTCGACATGCTCATCATCTTGTGAAAGAGCATTTCGGAGTCCAGAGCTACGAGACTCAAATCTTTGCGGTGGACGGTTCTTCACATCTCCCATCGACAGTGGCTCTTCCAGTGAGATTTGGTTACCTGAGTCCACAGAGACCTTCGGGTTGAAAGAGATCGAAGGTCGACGGGTGTGTAGATAGCTGTCGTAGTTGTCGAGAGGGGACCCCTGCACGTCATCGGGCTTGTGCGGGAAGTTGTCGGCATCGTCTGGGTGATGCTGCTCATCGTGTCGAGGGACGGAGATAGGAGGGGTCGCTGAGTGTAGATCACTTATCAAACTGCGGTCTTCATCAGTATCGTGGCGACGCGCATAATCATGAGATTGATTGGTGTGATCGCTCTCGATACCATCGCCCACTGTTGTCGCTTTCCTCCCAGAATTTTCATTCGCCCATTTATGCTTATTCCGCTCATGAAACTTCGTTTCAATCCTTAAACCTGCCAACCCACTTGCCAATCCGGCCCTCTCGCTATGTGCCATGCCCTAACGAGGAACACGTGGTGGAAATTGTTGTATTGTCAGCCCGTGATAGGCTTGCAGTAGGGTTATATAACCCTCTGCTTGGCTTTGTTCGATATGCTTCCCGATGGCTGTTGAAGATGTTATAATTGTGGGGGTGATAGCGTCAAAAGTGGGGACAGAACGTTTGATATGGTGAAAGTAAAGGAACTCGTAATTGAGAAGGGGTTGAACTTGAAGATTGAAAGGGACAGTCGAGATGAAACACGGTGGGTACCAACAAAGGTAGTCAGAGATGAATAGAAAGTGAGGTATTGGTCAAGTAGTTCGGTACTGAGAGGGGAAGAAAAACCGGGGAAACCCGGATGATGACGAGAATACCGAATCACATGACTAAAGGGCAGCCCTGGCCCTAATTTCCCCATATGGTCATACAGTGAGAAATAGGGGCCCATTGGGTAATTAATACATTACATATGTATGTATCACTTTGATTGTTTCTCCACAGTATCGTGTAGTCTGTATAGAGTGCCAAAAGAGATATTATTTATAACTTAGCTGCCTAGAAAAATCCCAATACATTTATAATAACATAGTAGACATACAAAGGCCACTACAAACACAGAAGCTCTAGCTAGTCGGCCATTATTGCGTGCCCGCATATGGGTTCAGGGGTCAAGCCATAGTTTTAACCGCGCGCAAGGGGCGCTTGTTTGGGAATACCTCCTTTTGGCTTTTGGAGATGTGAAAGGAGTTACTAACTATTCAGACTCGACGTCGCCTCGGCAGACATCTCCTTATTCCTTTTTTTTTTTTCTAATTCTTGTTCTCTTTTTCTCATTGTCGCTCTGGCAGTAATTTCTTTCTCCTTGTGTCGACCTCCGTGCTGGACCGAAGTGCAGACCAGCCCCCACCATTCTCATTCAAGGCGCTGTCTCTCATTCAAATCAATTCACCAAGTGCCCGTGACTCTCAGTCGAGTTTGTTTTACTGTCTAGTATTCGTGTTTCTATCTTGATACAGGAAATTTGGAGGCTCGCGCATTGCTTTCGTCCTGCGCTTGTCTTCTAACTTCCATATTCCTGAATCGCTAGTCACTCCTTGCGCTCACGAATTGTTTCAATCCCATTGCTCTCGATAACACACTCATTTACCCTGCAACATGACTAGGCCTCAGATGATCCGAGCTGGTAAGTCAAATGCTTCTGGGGCGCGAGGGCAATTGGCTTGAAGTTGAAGGTGTTGACCGCCACCTCTAGACACCTTGGACCTCCAAGATCACGATACCCCTTCCGCCAAAGATCACACAAAACAACCCGAACATCCAGATCCTCTTGGGAGCGGCCGGCCTGCTCCCCATCAAGAACTCTCTATTCGCCATGCTGAACAAGATTCGCAGGCGGAGACAAAGGGCGGACCAGACAAAAATAACGATTACCGCGGCGACAAGGAGGTGTATCGAGAACCAGATGATGAGGAAGACGATGAGGATGAAAATCACTACGACCATGAAGATGGCGACCTGGCAGACGGTGAAAGCGACGATATGATGGACGATGACATGATGGACAAAATCTCCAGTTCGCCCTCTATCGATGACGGTACGGACTCTCGGGAATTATAGGCATTACCCGGGCATTGGCTGATGTTATACAGAGGATATCGATTTTGAGTTTGTATATGCGCTTCATAACTTTGTCGCAACGGTCGATGGGCAAGCAAATGCCGCAAAGGGTGATACTATGGTTCTTCTTGATGACAGCAACAGCTACTGGTGGCTTGTGCGCGTGGTGAAGGATGGCAGCATTGGTTACCTCCCTGCAGAACACATCGAAACGCCAACCGAAAGGCTTGCCAGATTGAATAAACACAGAAACGTGGATCTGTCTGCGACCATGTTGGGTGACAATAACGAAAAGTCGAAGAATCCCCTGAAGAAGGCCATGCGCCGTCGGAATGCGAAGACCGTCAACTTCGGGCCGCCAACGTACATCGACGCCTCCGACGTCGACTACTCAACGGACGAGGATTCCGAACACGGCGACTTTTTCAACGATGACGAGGACGGAGAAGAGGAAGATGTGCAAGAGCAAGCTGAAGATATTGTTGTGGAACCTCTTAGGCCCAAATCCCAGAAAGAAGGCTCCACAGAGCATGCCGATGGCAACGGTTCAGAGAAACAAGATTTGCAGCGTTCAAGTTCTGATCGACGCCCGTCTAGTGAAGAGTTCTTTGAGGCCGAAGGTAAACACACTCAATTCAACTGCTCTCGGGTCGTATTTGGAACTCACTTTTACGAAGCAGAACCCACCGTCAGTAGATCCAGAAATGGCACTGTACGGAACACCGATTCCTTCTTCAAAGACGACACAGCCGAGCCTAAGAAGATTTCCCTCACACCAAATCTCCTGCGCGATATTCGCGATGAAAACAGCACAAACACCTTGGCTGAGTGGAAAGAGGTATGTTTCCCACCGTGTGTTTATCCAAAGATTAGTTAGCTGACGTTTTGGTAAAGCCTCGTGGAAGCTTTGAGTCCATTGAAAAGGGCTCTAACTCACAGGACAAAATCAAAGAGAAAGAGGAGAAGAAGCGAAAAGAAAAGAAACCTGGGATGCTCAGCGGGCTATTCAAGCGCAAGAAGAGTAAAGATGACATTGACGACCCAGAGAGGTCTTCTGCAGATTCAGGATTCCGCACATCACCCCAGCCCAAGACCTCGATGGACTCAATCTCGTCAAAGTCTGTGTCCCCCGAACAACAGCGGCCATCCAAGCCCCAGAAAGCCTCGAACAACAAGCTACACAAGCAGCCCCCAGGAATCATGAAGGTTGATCCAGTCCTTGACCCTACGATGGCCGAGTTTGCTAGGGCCAACGAGGCCATAAACCAGAGTCAGGGCAACAAGAGCATTCGACAGGTGCCACTGCAAGAAGAACGAGAAAGCAGCTACGAAGACTGCGAAATTGTGTTACAATCGCCTATTAGCCAATCGAGTGCTTCCAAGGACCCCTTTGCTAATCCGCTCGAATCTATCGACTCCCTGGAGTCGCCTGTTGATCGACCATCCAGTGAAGCTCAATGGAGAGAACCCAATGATACAGGCCGCACGACAACTAGATCCACGTCCGTTACATCTCCACCCCAGAAATTCGTTCCTCCGCTGGTAGCTAGAGATGAGTCGGAGTCCCCTGTCAATATTTCTCCCGTGGAGGCTTACTCCCCCGTGAGCGCGCGCGGCTCAACAAATAATGTCTCTCATCGAGAAGTACGCTCTCTCTCGCCACCGTCTCCACCATCGTCCCCCGGACAGGACGTCAATAACCTCAAGGGTAGCACGACTGCTCCCGCCTCGTTCGACACCCTTTCTGTGGATACCCCGACGTGGAGCGACTCCAGTCTACGATCATACATGGACGAAGAAAACGACATTCGCGACTTGTTTATAATTGTCCACGACAAATCAAATGTACCTCCCGCTGGCCCTGACCATCCCATCACCGGTCGTCTCTTCAAGGAAGAAAGCAAGAGACTCAAGGAGATGAACAATCAGCTTGACGATATGCTTGTGAACTGGATGTCACAGCGAGCTAACAGCTCGACCTCGACTCGTGGCATTCGAAGTCCACCAGTGTAACCGAGTGTGTATGAATCTTTTGAAACCAAACCCATGTGTTGATAGGCGGTTCGCCTTGCATGGTGATGAAGGCCAGGATGCTTTTGGATGTGCTGGGCGCATCACTTTTGGCCCTTATTCTTTCCTTTCACCTTTGATTTTTTTTTTCCCTTTCCGTATTGTGTCTTGATGCCACTGCTTGGCGCAAATTCTTGTTCTGCATTTTTCCATCGCTCTAGGGAGCGATGTGACCCTGAACGTCTAACGGCCAGCTCTATTTACACCATGCTTTCCATCTTTTTCTTCGATTTTCACCGGAATACCCCGACTCATCCATATTCAGTTTTGTTTCTTTCACATCTTGTCATCCAAGGTTAAACTGGCGTATCTCAATCCAATATCAGTTGCCGAACATATTTTTCTAGAAAAATAAACAAACCATTAGAAGGCACACCCCTCCACTGTATGCAGAGAAGCAAGTGATCAGTGTCTGATTGGAGAGCAGGTGCATCCCGGAAGCGTGCGGGCAGGTCAGCCGCACAAGTCATCTGTCTTAAGACATACATAGGTACATAAAACCCTTTTCGTGTTCCCCAGGAGTTCTTGATATGACAGGTTTTCTTTGACTTATTTGTCGCATCACCATGGCAGATCCATACAACACTTACTCACACTCAACGCCTGCGCCGAGCGGGGTTGGCTACTACCCACCAGAGGATCAGCCGCAGTACCCGGAATATGGCCACCAGCAGCCATATGGGAACCAAGAGACATATCATAACTCTGGATCAGAGCAATACAACCCCGGATCAGAGCCTTATGAGCCCACTCCAAACCCAAACCAAACCTATGCTCCACAGCAAAGTTCATATCACCTCGCGCCCGAGCCATATGGATCCTCCATGGAGAGAAGCTATACGCCGACAGGGCAGCCAGACTACCTTGGGCCAGTGACTCCGACAGGATACGAACATGTGCAAGACAAAATCCCCGAGAACGCAGGATACTAGTGAGTGGACAATACATACCCAGCTGTGAGAATGGGCACTAACACAGAGCCCTAGCAATGACCATCCAGCAGACCAACCACGGTACACACCCTCAGGTAGTCCCCACCCTCCCGCCGTTCATGTATCGGAGCCAGAGGATTCCCAACGCAATGGCGAACAGCGCTCCGATACTGACACCGATACTGACCGGGGTATGGACCGTGGGATTGGGGGTTCGCTCGCTGGCGGCGTGGCGGGCTATTACCTCGGTCATAAGAAGGAACATGGCTTGCTGGGTGCGATTGGTGGTGCTCTACTCGGGAACTTTCTGGAGGACAAAGTGAAGGATCACAAGAAAAATGACGATGATAGCGAACATGAGCATGATCACGATGATCATCATCGCCGTCGTCGTCATCACCATCACCACCACCACCATGGCCATGGCCATGGCCATCGCAGCCATTCGAGGGACAGTAGTCATAGCGGTCATAGCGGGCACTCTCATAGTTCTCGTCACACCAGCTACTCAAGGCACCGCCATGAGGATGAATACTGAGCAGATCTCGACATCAGACAGTGTTCTTTTGCCTAGGGTTTCTTTTCTTCCACTCTTTCCTTTATGGTGTTTCAATTTTAGCCTTATGCCATGTAATATGGGTTATTTGATTTCCTTTGCTCGGGACTTGGTATCTATCTAGAGACAGTATTCTTGTCTTGATACTTTTCTTTTCTTTTCTTTTTTTCTTCTTGGCTCGAGAAGTCTCTGGTTGATCAGCACCTTCTGTACTCTCCCACGAAGACTCCATTTCAGCATGTGCAACATGAATTCAAACCTTCCTGAAAACCGAATCGATGATTATGCATAATGAGAGAATAATTCTTTGATCATATTGGCTTGCAAACGAAATACCCATGTGATCAACCCATGTACCAGTCCTCCTGGTCACGAACTCGTAAGCTCACTGGTCAGCGGGAAGCGACAAGAGCTTTGATTTGCAGTCACCTGGTTCATTATGTAGGAGATTTCCTGAAATTGACATAATAACCTGTACATGCTCCTTGCTCTCTTATGAGTACGGCTAAGGTCTTCCATCTAGTATCGTGATCAAGGTCTGTACAATCACGTGTGATGATTAATTCCCTGTATGCTTGGAAGCTTTCCATGGAAGGTTCTAAGGTTCCAAGGTTCAGCCCTGGAGGCTCTGCCCAGGGCTTAGTGTGTATGTTGTACCTATGTTGTACGGAGTACCCCCGAGAGCTTTGCCAGAACTCACAGGGTCTGATCTCTCAGTAGGATGCGTTGGACAATGCTCAGGGGCGTGCCCCTAGTTTGCCCTTATAGCAACACTTTTTGTTTTTAAAATGTAGCTGCCTAAGTAAATATGAGAAATCCTTGCTTCATTCTAGTGCAAGCACTATCTTTCTCAAAATGCCAAGTCCGCTACTCTGTACGGAGTACGAAGTACTCAGGTATGTAATCTATCAGTCTTACTCCACATACTCCACATACAGAGGTTGTTGATGGATATAAATTATTAATAGATTAACGTAGCCCTGGAGTCATTAAGCGTATTTTCTATACAGCATACAATAAATGTATACCTTGGAAGAGTTGAAGATGTATAGACTTTATAGGACTCTTGTCCTTTCAGTTTCACTAGTACGGGCGACTAAGTATGCCACCGGTTCATAACTCTCCTATTGGATACTACCTCACCACCTCTTTCATCGCCGCCTTCTTGAAGCATACCCTTCTTTGTAATTAATTTCAATCTGTATACTAAAGTCAACTTCTCTTTTATTTTTTACAAGAATAGTCGGCCTGGTTAACGGCCTTAAGATATCTTTTAGCTGATCTTTTTAGCTGGTCTTTTTAGATATATGTAAAGGCGGTACAAAAGCATACTCTTATAAAGTATCAATTAAATGCTCTTATAAAGTATAAATTAAATACTCCTCGAGAGTATATATACAGCAGGTAGGTCAGTGCAATTAGAGAGATAAAAAGAGTGTATACTATACTTTGAAATTAGTACCTTCTTAAGGTTGAGTGGATCTACCTAGTATCAAGAAATATTATCTTAAGCAAACATTGAGTATTTAGTTATTTTAGATCAATGATCTGCGATTCTATAGTAGGCCTGGCGGTATATACCTAGGCACAATACTACAACATATATTTTTAGTAATTTACGAAGAATTAGTCCGTGGATTCTCCGGAGGAATTAGCCAAATATTCGTATGCGCCAAGAATATAGAGCGGACCTTGAAATTCTTCTGCCTTGATGCAAAAAAAGGGCACGCTAGTCTATATTAGGCGCTATATCTTGCGGGTAATTCCGAAGCGTGAATTTTTCCTTGAATGTCTCTACTGTCTTTATTAAGTGACTTGTACTCCATAAACGTCTCTATTAATGAAACGCCACTATACTCATGTGATAGCATGTGATGTATGCAGATCATGACAAAAAGGATTAGTCTGAAAATCGACTTTAATCATGTTGTAGCTTCGCTGGTACGGAGCACACGGGACGTAAATTGGTTCGTTTCCTAGCTAAGGTTTGGCTACATGTTGCAACGATGTAATTAGGATCTTGCCGTTAAAGAAGCTGGACTTTTTCGTAGGAGATTGTCTATGGAATTATCAAGCTACCACAATACCGGCCCTCGCCCGTGAAACATGATCATTCTAAGATGCTCAATCTTGTCGTTTATACCGTGGAAACGCTGCAATTCTAGTATCCGGAATCTCTCTTAAAGAAAATACTACCATGAAGGGTCTCGTATCCAGTCTCAGTGTTCTTTTAAGCTTCACCTCGTTGAAAAGATCATCGATATAGAGGAAAATGAAGGAAATTCCACTTCTTTCTGCCTTTTGCAAAGGTTCTTGGTACCTTAAATCCTATGTAAAATGCGCGAAAGAGCTTATTGTACATAACAAATCTTCTCACAATATCAAGAGTCCAATATGTGCTGCATTTTGCCCCCTCGAATCCATGAATGCGGACTTCGTTCATACGGACTTCCCAAACAGGGTTCCGGCGCTCCCGTTACTCCTAAGTGGATTGGATACAGAGAACTCTAGCTTTATGCATGTGCTATTACCCAGATTTGTCCAAGAAGCTGTAGAAGAGAGACCCTACGGCAAAGCCAAAACATGGCGTGATGGATAAGACGATACTACATGACATGGCTATCCTCGCAAGGGGACTTGGTTTTGAATCTCACTAATTGAGAAGCTCATATAACAGTCGCCAGATCGCCAAATCGCGTGAGTTGTACTGTTGAGTGCCTATCTATTGGACTGATATAAGTATAATGAACCAGAGGTTGAGTCTGTTATTGAATTAGTCACTGAATGCTCCTCGAGAGCCACCCCTCTTGACCACCAACCTCCAGCGCAATGCGGTAGTGGAAGGGAAACTAGGAAAGAGTCTCGGTGCGGATATCTGCAAATTAAGACCCAATCATAAGATCGTCCGTTTTTTCTTGTCGATCAAATTCATGGCGACCCTTTTTCAAATGCCCCATGGGTCTCGACTTCCTTTGTGAGACACAATAATATCTAGGCCCCCTTTTCAACAAGCATTATTATGTGCAACAAATTGTGTTACGTACAAGCCTCTGTATTAAGGCTTTCTAATGTCTCTGATTGTTCCCAGCGAGCTCTGATAGTCTTGTGGTGGAAATGCTGACTCTTAAGGTACATTACTGACTATCCCATCTCGATTTGATCACAAACATGACTCTCAACAATCTCTACAATCGTACTGTACGAAAACAACTGACTGAAGCTTCATAATAAAAACGTTGCTCTTTTCTTGAGGCTTGATATTCCTATAGGTTTCCTTTTACGGCTCGGGAAGGTTCCGGTGAAATCCTATGAAACAGCCGGATAACATTTGACCATGGCATCTTGTGCTGCATTTTCTATCCAACCAATAGAGATATAGTGTTAGCGAAAATTAGTGTCTTTTGTCTTAGATATGCTTTTTCTAAACTAATACGTCCAAATATAGAAATGATCAACTTCGCAGAGCAATATAAAACCTATGTTTCTTCACTCGGAGGAATTCTAAAGATCGGATAAAAATTCCATCGGCGATCTTCCAAAATGTTTATGAAAGAGATTTTGTCTTTCGCACTAGCGATAAGCAGTGCGCTTGCTACAGCTGTCGTACCGTGTCGGGAACCAGCCCTTCGCAAAGAGTGGCGACAACTCTCTGTCCAGGAGCGGAACGGTTATGTGAAAGCTGTCCAATGTCTAGCTACCACGCCTTCACGTTTGGGTCTGAACACAACACTTTACGATGACTTTGCCTATGTTCACAACAAGCTGAATAGTCGAAGTATGTACATCTACCGTTCTTATCTTTCTCCTGATTACTGACGTCTGAATTTAGTTCATTTCGTCGCATCTTTTCTCCCATGGCATCGTTACTATGTACACGTATACGAAGAAGCCCTCAAGCAATGCGGTTATGAGGGTAGCATGGCGTGAGTGGTGCATTTCTCCCTTTATACCATATTTGTCATTGACCATTCTCATCTGCAGGTATTGGGACTGGACACTGGATGCCCGTGACCCTGCGCATTCTACCATATGGGATGCCAAAGTGGGCGTGGGAGGTAATGGCGACCCAAAATATACGAACCCGGTAGGAAAGGACGAATATGAGTGTGTGTCAGATGGTCCTTTCCGAAACTTGCGCCCGGCATATCTTCAGGACGATCGCATCCCTCATTGTCTATCTCGCAACTTTAACAATGGCACTGAATATATCGGCAACATGTTGGCCTCTGAATATACCCCCAACGTTATCAACAAGATCTCCAAGCTGCGGGACTACAATTCATACCGAATCTCTCTTGAATCAGGTCCTCATGGTGCAGTCCATTCTGCCATTGGGGGAGACATGTCCCCCGCGACATCACCGAATGGTAAGACTCAAACTTCACAATTTTCCAGCAATTGCTCCCCGCTGACCTGACTTTTTCCTTGCTTGTTTAGACCCGATTTTCTTTCTGCATCATACACAAATAGATCGTCTTTGGTGGCTTTGGCAGCAAGAAATGCCATCTAACCGCACCTACGACTATAGCGGTATCAGAACTCAGGACAATTTCGACGGCAAAACCCCGCCTGCCGCCACTTTGAATGATCTTCTTCCGATGCTTGGGATGGCAAAGGACCTCCCTGTCAAACAGGTTATGAAGACGCAGACTTCACTTCTCTGTTATCGGTATTGAAAGCAGACGGCGCGCGATAAGTCTTAGCAGATCTATCTCTGATAGATCCGAGTGTATTGACTACCAAAGAGATACCGGGGAAAAGAAGAGAGAGGGAGATGGAGAACGAGTAAACTACCTGTGGACCTCCGGGATTTAGGGCTAGTAAATATGGTCACATGATCACGGTCTCACTGGATAAACTATTAATAGATTGTCGTGGGGTCTGAACATCTCCACTGTAAATGCGGGGACCGTATATGTACTAGCGCGTTTTAGGCCTAGAGGGGAAACACTCGAACAATCCTTAATCCATTTTACAACCTTCACCTCAAAAAAAGTCATACAACATGGCCGCACAAATAAACGACCTGGATGAAACGCGGGATAAAATTTCGCAGCAACTTTCTCCCACTCCATTTGCATGCACCTCGCTCACACGCCTCTCTGGAGGCACAGCAAACTTTGTCTATCGAGGCACTCTTTCCTCAACTGGACAATCCATCATCATCAAACACACCAAAGATCACTCGGCCTCTAACCCAGATTTTAAAATCGATGTTACAAGATGCGTCAGTTACACTCCATTGAATGACCATGCTTCGAACTATACTGATCTCAATTTAGCATTTTGAGGAAGCCATTCTTCAAGCTCTCGATGGCTTGACAAGGTATACAAATGGTAAAATAAGTGTCAAAACACCGCGCTTATTGGACTTCAATCGGGAGACAAATACCCAAGTGTTCGAAGATCTTCCAGATTCAATCGACTTGAAGAACTTTCTGCTCTCAAAGGTTTCTCATGACTTGTCCGAATCCTCAGGGCGAGCCTTGGGTAGTGCCCTTGGATCCTGGCTGAAATCTTTCCACCATTGGACGACCGAGGAACAGCAAACAGAAATTACAAAGCTTCTTGGGGAGAACAAAATCATGAAAGATTTGAAATTCTGGGTGAACTACACTATGCTGCTTGATACTATCGAAAATTTCCCCAGTATTCTAGAGGGGGATCGTGATATCTTTGAGAAGATTCGTGACCTGGCTGCGGCAGAGCTTGAGCGACAGAGCCATGATGATGGATATGGGGTTATTCACGGTGACTTCTGGACTGGAAAGTATGCTCTTTTCGATCTAGACTCCATGAACTGAGCCAGGTTACTGACATGATTTCTAGTGTTCTTCTTCCAAACGTTCCTCTCACCCATCAATCCGACACAAAGGTGTTCATTGTCGATTGGGAACTGTCACAGATTGGAAGCCGCGCATTAGACTTGGGTCAAATGATTGCTGAGCTGTACGAAACAAAGCTGTTCAAGAATCTGGACGGTGGAGTGTGGATTATTCAAGGGTTCTTGGAGGGATACGGGGCCCTTAACGATGAAATGGCATTCCGAACTGCGATCCACGTTGGTGTGCATCTAATTTGCTGGGGAAGTAGGGTCCCTGGATGGGGCACTCAAAAGCAAATTGAGGATGTGGTGAAGTCTGGAAGAGATTTGATCGTCCACGCCTGGAGAAAAGATAAGGCCTGGTTTGCGCAAGGCACTCTTAGTTGCCTTTTCAAGGGTTGATTCTTTATATTCGATGTTGCAAAATCCAGCCATACAACTGGTTCCTCGGCTATCAGTTGCTCGTGTTCAGCATCAATAAATTCTTCTTCCCAGAAAACGCCGTGTGGCTCGAAAGGCAGCTCTTTCAAATTGCTTCGCTGCATCATAAAATAAAGTGCTTGAGTATTGATATGAGAATAGGGATGACTGGTTTTCAAAGTTTTGCATTGTTTTTGGTATTTTTGGGTTTGTTTACGGTATTGATGATACATCCAACTTTCCCCGCCAAATATTGCCACTTGTGCTCCACGGACCGCAACGCTGTTCGCTCTCCAACACCCAAGTAGGGAGTTGGTGCAGCCTGTGGAGCGTAACTATTTCTTCTTCTCCATAACATCGACAAAGACATGTCCCAGGGGACCGTCCTCGGCACTCCATCCTCCATGCTGGATGGTGTACTTGTCACTCTTGTCCAACACCTCGACCAAGTTGGGATACTCTCCACCCCGGTTCTCCCAGTGGAGCTCGCAAATCTTGTCATTGTCATGAAACAAGTCCAGGCGGCCCTCGCTACCGCGACGGCTGCTAGCTCCGATCTCGCCAACGCCATCGGGGGAGATCTTGATCTCGTCGATCTCCTCTTCAGTGAGCGACTTGCGGCGGTTGGTGGGGTCGGCGAATTCGCCGCTGCCGGGTGTTAGTAGAAATCTAGTAAATCCCTGGAAGCATAGATACCCTTCAATGACAGTGTTCTGCACTAGGATCTCGCCATCCTTGATGTGGTCCCGAATGTGAAACGAGACCCACTTAGAATTGTACTTGTCCATATTGTCCATGTTGAAAATCTTTGAAGTAATTGTGATTGATGAATTGTAGAAGTGAAACTCCCGGAGATCAATTCAAAATGTTCTGCATGTATATATATTACCCCGGAATGCGGGGAACGCTTGTGGTGATGTAATTCATTTTACGTACGTCGACGGGTCATCCACGAATGGTACGACCGCGCCGACACCATTGTCCAATGACCTATCCAAACCAGAGACCTTCTTGGTCTTTGCGGGGTTTGCGCGCCTATCAACTCGTCTTATTGCATCACTCGAGGCCGCGTGATCTGAATAGTGTGGAGTGGCATGATAATTGGACAATGGAACGCATGACATTGTTGGTTCGAACTTACATGACTGACCCGAGTGGTCGTACCACCTGGACATGTTAGGGTAGCTCGTTGGCAATAATAACAGCAAAACAACAAGACTGTAACAAAATAAGAGAGATCGGACCACGGACTCTGTCAGGTGTACAAAATCAACTGGAATGAAACACGATACTTGGAGGTAAATTAAACCCAAAGCGCGAGCTAATCTGTGCTATGAGAACCGCCTTTGTCTATTTTCTCAAATAGACTAACCCAAATAGGCCAAGAAAGCACTCACAGAACAATGGCCGCCGATGGGGTCAAACCCCCAATACAACATAATTGCCTTAACATCACTTGGTCATATAGACTTGTGGCTCGAGGGTGTTTGTTATTTCATCGTGGTACCACAAGCATACGCAGACATCTGGGCTGACACTTTATGCCCGTCTTACTCTTGACGGGTCGTTCTGGGAATAAGACTATAAGGCATTTCATATAAGCATTGAAGCTCCATAGATGTGATATTTGATGAAAATACCTAGCTTTAATATGTTGCCGGCTATGTCTAAGCACCCGGGAGCTAAATCATCAATCCCCGTGCCAATGGTCAGCAGGAAGATCAACGTGTGATATTTAGGGACTCTATAGTATATAGTGACTTCACTCAACGGCTAGAGTTTATAGCCATATCCTAGTGAATCTTAGTGAATCTAGTATTGGTTCCGCTTGTGCGCGACATTCTTCGTCTACGAATCGGAATACATTCCTATTATCTTTGTCATTTTGTTCTCTAAAAGCACCATATTGCTAATCCCTCTATGAGGTGAAAGGCCATCTCATTAAGTGATTGGGGTACCATCAGTCCGTTAAGACTGAAGCGCTCTCTAGCATGCACGGTATTATATGTCTATGCATGTCCTGCAACCATCGAGCCATGTATCATCACCCTAGTCGTGTTTGGTGGGATGTAAGCGCAGTTCAGACACGTAGACTTGTCATTAACCCATCATATATGCGATGAAATACACAATTAGTCCGGTGAATCGCTGCACTAGTAAATTGATGGACGCCAAGTATAAATCCGGGGTCGGTCGGGCCGTGGATAGTGTGAACGGCGAGCCTTTTTTTTTGGGCAATTACCGATGAGCACATTACCATTCATCATCAAACGTTATACATGGAGAAATAAATTTCACTCATAAAGCCTTTCCTCTACCTTATTCTGTGGTCTATCTATGAAACTGGGAAGAAAGCCAAAACATCTGTGGGAAAAAGACATTTAAGAAGAACAGCTAAAAAGACCGCATAAGCGGGCAACTATCCTTGTTTCCCTTAGATAGTAAAACTATTGATTAATTTTTTTTCTATTACTGTGAAAGATGCCAGAAGGCGAAGAGGGGCATTGGGTGAAACAATATGGGGGCTATGAGAACTATGGGGGCCATGGGGGGCCATAGGGGCCAGGGGCAGTGTTGAGTGCTATAGGAAGGTTATAGGAACACACCTCTGCCAAATTATAATACCCAGATTCGCTCTTCCAGACTCATTCAGTTTCCAACCAAATCTTCTGTCTATTTCCTTCATTCTTGGTCTTTCCACAATGCCTATCCATTTTCCTACGCAATTTGACGACGAATATTGGACAATATCAAAATGGCTGCGAGTGGCGTGTATAGCCGCCAGCTCCCCCTCACCCCTCTACTTGGTGAGTGTGGGAGCATCGTGGGGGCTATTCATGATTGTGGTAATGACCTCTTTTCGAGCTGGGTGGAATTCTGAGCAGCTAACATTATCTAGAATTTCCTGCCATTAGTTTGGGCCTCAATTCATCTTGTCCTGCTGTGCAGAGAAGTCATTTTTCACCCGCTATTTAACGCCTCTCTTGATCTTCTTTCAATCACAATCTATTTGCATAATCTTACCTCTTTGGGTCCCGGATTGGGCGAATATGTCTACAAGATCATCACGGGTCCTTTTATGCTGGCAGCTATGTACAGTCGCAACACACACTTCTGATTTAATTACCTCTCTGCTCACTCATTATATGCAGATACTGTTTTGGCGTATCATGCCTCCGCGAAGTAATGCGATTCCGGCGATCTGTGCGCCGGTATGTCCAGGGTGGTGTTGTTCTTGCCTAGTCAAGCGGGGTGACAGATGGTTGAGTGGGAATTACTATCATGAAATGATTGTTGTTGAAGTCGATCCTCGGATTGATTCTTGAAATGCTTTGTTAATTATGGTACATATATCATGCTACTATGGTTGCTAAAACCAGTCTTGTATAAATCATTAAAAGAAATGTAAAATTTAAGATGGAGTCAGCTGTCTAGCACCAAGAGAAATATAATTGTCAACGGTAGCCCAAAACCACTAGGAAATTTACAAATAGCCACTAACAAGTTTTGCTATCACGGGTATCTTGATAAGCTGAAAGTGTCGCTTAGATCTGTAGAGCAGCAACAACGATGGCGCCAAGAATAACTGTAACCCCGGAGACGGTGGAACGTCCAGCAGCGTTGAAGGGAACAGAGCTGGGAGTAGCAGTGGTCCAAGCACCGGTGGGGGAAGGACCAGCGGCAGTGATAGGTGTGACACGGCGCAGGGAAGAAGCTTTAGCACCAACGGAGGTAGCAGCGGCACAGGCCGAGGTAGCGGCACAGACAGTTTGGGTGTGAGTGACAGTCACGGTGGTAGCAGAGGAAGCTCTAGCGGAGGAGGAGCGTCCAACAGCGATACCGGAAGGACGAGGGCTGCCAGAAGCAGAAGAGATAGGGGACACAGGGGAGGCACCAACAGCAGAGGACGAAGGAGCGCTGATGACAGAAGGGGCGGCCCAGGAAGGAGTGGTGACAGCCACCAAGGTGGGAATGGAAAGTCCAGTCACAGAGGTGACGGGGGTAGCAGAAGAGGAAGACGAGGTGGATCCATCCTTGCAATCAGCCTCACCTAGAACAGCCAAGCACAGTTTGATAGGAATGTTGATCAGGCCGCCGTTAGAGTCAGAACTCTGCTTGCAGTGGACCTCGCCCAGGACAGCTAGGCAGACGTTGATCGGCACGTTGATTAAGGACTCGCTGTCGCTGCTGGAGGAAGTGGCCTGGTCACACTTCGCCTGGCCAAGAGCAGCCACACAGGCATTAACCGGGACGTTGATGAGGCCGTTGGTGGTGCTCTGCTGCTTGCACTCAGCATCTCCAAGGATTCCAGCACAGAGGCCGACGGGAAGGCTGATCAAGCTCTCAGTGGCCTGGACACCCTATGCATAGACATAGATCATTAGTTTCATATCCAATTGCAATCCGAAATAGTGGATGTTCCACTTACGGAGCAAGAAGCGGCAAGGGCCACAAGGGACGTGATAATAGATTGTTTCATATTGTCGAAATAAATGTAGAAATTATACGTTAAGTATTAAGAGAGAGTGGTGTGATTGATATTGATGAAAGTGATAAAAGAATGGACGCTGATAACAGCAAAAAAGAGTGGACGTGAGACGACTCACGAAAAGGATAGCAGCTTGAGTAGATGAAGGTATGAGAAAAAGAAGATCATCCGGAGGTGGGCAAGGGGCCTTATACATGCTGAACTCCCAGCCAGAGCACCCTCATCCCGGTCAGGGGGAAAAGTGTCGATCTGCACAGCAAAGCATTGGCAACAAAGAAAATGGTCCTCAACCAAGACTAGGTGCGGCCATTAGTTTTCTCGTAGGTCTCTCATTGGCGTGCCCCTATTTTATGAGCCGTTGTATAAAGCTAACCTGTTACTAACCTTATAACAACTTGCCCTAGCCTGATACTACCCCGATGATCAAACTTTACATGTACTAGCTCCACTATAGTTCCTTTTTCGAGCCGCTACCTGTTGGCATTCCCTCTGTTCTTTCGTTTGCACCAGACTCGACTAGTATCATGTTAGGCATTGACTGTACCTAGTTAGGGGGTTGAAAAGAGATAGAGCTAGAATACGGATGGGAGCTAGCCTTATAAGCAGCCTTCATGAGATCTTGGGACGAAATGTTTGAGCTTTACATATCTCGCTCTAGGAGTATAGATTAATGTATCTTTTATATATATTGACTCCTAGCATTGGTAGTCACAGTTCTTGCGGATAGCCCTGCAGGTACTAGCGCTCGAGCGCCTAATATCTATTTTCGTCTTATCAATCACTCCACGGTAGCAATAGAGGTCCGAAGGCTTTTAAGAAGACCTATCAGGCTTCATTGGTTAATATAAGGCATTTTCTAAGTGCTAGCTAGAATATCTTAGGGTACTAATATAGGGCCACAGGATTCGCTAATAGGTGGATCAACTGACAGCAGCACTAGTCCCTACGTCATGCCCACACTTGCCCTTCTTTACAACATTGTATACTCCGTACTCCGTATGGATTTCTTTGTTGAACTCATGGCTTCTTAGTCTTCTTCTATTACTACTTCTTTTTTTATTTTTTTCTTCTGATGCTCATTTTGGCTTATAGATAGGTCATTGAGATGTGTCATTTTGACTTCCAAACTATTTATGGGTGATGTAAAATCCTGGAAGTGTCTGGGGTGGTACCAACATAGATATAAAAGATTTGACTAATTAATCCTTATGATAACCATCATGGTCTACTTTATACATCGTACAGCATAATGCTTGTGTCAGATAAATGCAGAACCCTGCATTTCTAAGCCCCGAAAAGCCCTGATACGCCCATTTATGCTTATCGCATGAGTCATCCGATCTGCCCCGATGAACTCGATAAGGCGATTCAGCTCTCGTGACACTTCAGAATGACCCCCAGGGCTGTTCTCTCAAGTTCTTGCTTTTGTTCACTTACTTATTACTTTCTCTTTCCAAATCTACTCTTCTACTCTCTCTATTAGCTCTATTAGACTTAGAGTATACATCCTCTCTTATCCATCTCGTTCACCTCGAATTCGCTTATCGCCCTTACCCCATACTTTGATGCCCACGGCCCTACACGCACTACTCGAGGCTGTACCAAGCCACTATATCTATTAAAGACACCCTCATCGAAAGGCCATGTCTCCTCCGTTACTACAGTACCTTATTTCTGGGACCCTTCCTGATCATTGTGAACCGACCTCGCCCTTCCTGACCGCCGTCTCCTCGCATCTCCACATCTGCATCCCCACTCCTCTTGCCGCGGTCTCTTCCGTTCTTGGGACCCTCAGCATAGTCTCATGGCTCTTCGCACAACTACCCCAGATTTATAAGAACTTCCAAGTGCAATCGACGTCAGGGTTATCGATATTTTTCTTGGTAATCTGGTGTCTTGGTGATGCGAGCAACCTCGTTGGAGCGCTATACACCCGGCAGGCAGGGTGGCAGGTCGTGATTGCCAGTTATTACGTCTTCGTTGACATCGCTCTGGTATTCCAGTTCTTCTGGTATACCCACTACAAAGCTCGTCAAGACGATTCGTATAACAGCCTATCACACTCGCATGGCTCGGCCCCCCAAGACATTATTCAAGGCGTGCCTCCCCCAGGCGATGATTTAGACCATCAGACCCCAACTCCCGTCAACATGGACAACAAGCACTCCGATGCCAAAGATGTGGGCTTCCATGCCGGGTCAGTACTCAACTCGACCCTTGGGCAAGCAGCCTCATACTCAAATGAGAAACTGAGTTCATCGCGTCGATCTGTGAGGATGGGCAGCAGCGCGCAGAGCCCCCCATTTGCCCTGCCCCGGACGATGCTCATGGCATCGCTCCTCTGTGCCGTCATGGCCAATGCTGCCCCCACCGATAAGCCTCATCCGCCCATTTCTGAGGTACCGCGAGAGGCCATCTTCGAAATCATCGGCCGCGTCTTCTCCTGGATGTCAACAATCCTGTATCTCGGCTCGCGCCCTCCACAGTTATACAAGAACTACCAGCGCAAGAGCACCGAAGGTCTCTCCCCACTGCTCTTCATGGCTGCCTTCTGTGGGAACCTGTTCTACTCCAGCTCGCTGCTCACCAACCCCAATGCTTGGTCCGATTTCTCCCCATACGGTGGTGGCGGCTGGGCCGATAGCCACGGTAATGACCGATTGGAATGGATCGGACGCGCTACCCCGTTCTTCCTAGGTGCCTTCGGTGTATTGGGACTAGACGGGTTCATGGGAATTCAATTTCTCATGTATGGCGATGGTCCAGAGCACGAGGATGACGAAAGTTTCATCAGTGGCGATGGGGATGACCCAAAGCGCGGTCGCGGTCGCTGGAGGCATGTTCACGGCTGGATGCGCGGCTGGATCCCCTCTTCTTCGCCTCGGAGGGAGTCAAGGGAGTCTTCGGTCCCGCAAGAGGGACAAGCTCTGTTGGGCGCAGAACGTGGCCGATACGGCACTGTTTGATTGTGGCCTTTCATGTGCGTCTCTGTTATTCTGTTATTCTTTTTTTGTTTCTTGCCCACATCTCTTGCGTAGGGTAGGTATGATATATATGATGTGATGACTTCGGACCTTTATTTTCCTCTAGCATTTCTTTTCTCTTCCTTTGTCATTCGGGTGCATTGTGTGTCATTAAGCACATCAAGCGTTGTTGTCTTTCGCTCTCTATCCGACCTGTTTTTTTACCTAGGCGTTTTAGAACTGGGTAGCATATATAGGGACAATCAGGCTGTCATCGAGCCTCTAACTCCGAGATGTCGCATTTCCCTTTTTTCTTCCGCATTGTATTGTCTATGAAAATTCTTGGCATGTCTTGGATTTCTCGGTTACCGATGGGCCATAGCGCACATTTACAAGAATAGACCAGGCTATTGAAAGACCCATCCCAGTTTACAACATAGGAAACACAAAGTATGGCGCCGATCAGAAGGGACATCAAAACGTGGCCGGACAGCCCCAGTGGCCCCCTGATCGCTTCATTCAATTTCCTGTGATTTGAGGAATGTGAATTGAGCAATGAGGGCACCCCAAGCCCTAAATGGAAGAACAACACGAACCTCCAATCTCCCCATTCTAGGCGATCATTTGATGTGTACTCCGTACCTGATCCATCAATGCAGGAACCAATTGCCTTGTCTTAAACGAGACAATCCTCGCTTCAAATTGCCAGCTCTTTTCCCCTGAGTGGAGTGCTAACGCCACATGTCATAGCAACAAAGGTTTCAACCACATCGCATCTTATTTTCCAACACTAGGAGTCTTGGGAGTCTTGGGGTAGACTGCCATGTACAACATAGAAAGACCCAGGCTAAAAGCCTGCGATATTCTCGTTTTTGGTTAATTCACTTGCTCATTCAAAATTACGTTTTTTCTTTGACCCTTCGTGGTGTTTACTCACCCGTCCATTCGTTTAAATTCGCTAGATTCTATATAGCAATGATGGTCCAAAGCCATTTGATGTGGCTTGCCCACGTTCTTCCGGCCGTTGCACTCACTTTCGCCACGCCTTCTCAGGCGACTCCCTCTTCGGCTCCGCTCTCGGGCTGTGGCTCTGAGAACTTGATTGAGGATGTGGCTTTTGAGACTATTGATCTCGATGACAGTGTGTGGACTGTATTGCCGCCCAATGGCGGTGCCGCTGTTGATGGATACTTGTTCGTGTTTACCTAACTAAAGGTCCCTTGCAGAGTATGAACTGACTCGAGTTTCGTGATAGGCATCTGAGTGCCGAAGCTATCCAATCGCAGACCCTGTTGGCCCAAACAGTTACCGGCGCTGTTGCAGAAGAGAGTTATACTGTCTCTTTGGATTTCCGCCAGACAGCTGGGTCAGGCGTTGGTAGTACAACTTGTGCCATAAATCTCCTGGTCAATGGTGCAGATATCGGTACTAGCACTCTCACAGCCGGCTCCTGGAAGACCATCACCAAGCAATGGACAGCTGCCAGCTCGGAAGTCGACATATTCATCCTAATTGATTGCCCTGATGCAGCGATATCGGGTGCAACAGTGGATGTGAACAGCATCTCGTTCAAGAAGAGCTGTGGTTCATCCACCTTGACCAGCGTTTCGATCCCTATCAAGACGCCATCAGATTCACCTGTGACTACCAGCGCTCCGCTCACTTCTTCTGTTTCCCCATCTGGCAATTCCAGCTCCGAGGGATCAGGATCTTCATCGCACGTCTCCTCAGCCTCACCAAGTAGCACTGTAGGACCTATCACCTTGACTACCACTATCACCGGACCCGTAAACCCCGCCTCCAGCAGTGCCATCGCGCCCTCAGCCTCAATCCCTAGAGCACCAACATCTTCTGAGCCCACCGCGCTGACAACCCCTGCCTCTGTGGACCCCGTGAGTTCCTCCATGGGGGGAACTGCTACGCCGGATATGACAACATCTACTGTTTTCACCACCCGCACTGCGACTATCACAGCCTGTCCCTCGACTGTCACCAACTGCCCAGCCACTGACAAGACAACTCACATTACAACCGAAACTATCGTTGTCTCGACTACCGTCTGCCCTGTTGAAGACGCAATCACCACTGCCGAGGGATCTACCCATACCAGCCTGTCTGGCACTGGCAACGACTACACAATCTCAACAATCCTCTCAACCAGAACTGTAACCCTAACTCAGTGCCCAGCAACAGTGACTGACTGCCCAGCCCGCGACCAGACAACACACGTCACGACTGAGACCCTCGTTGCCGGTATCACTTCGATTCCCATTAGCCCTACCGTGACCACCACGGCACCTGCCGCAGTGCACACATCGCCTGTTCCTGGGCAGACCACGACTATTGTTGTTGGCAATGAGACGAACACCTCGACTGCGTACTCTGTGAGCACCGTCACAGGCACCGCTACTACCGAGGGAGGTGTTGTTAATGAGACTGGTGTTTCTCACATTGGTGGAAATGGGTCAGAATCCGGAGTGTCGGCGGGCGAGGGCGAAGGTGAAGGTTCGACCAGCTCTGGCTCTAGCGTCTCCATTGGTAACAATGCCGGTTACCTCTCTAACCTGCCCAGCATCACACGCACACGTGTCGGCTCAGCTACACCTTCAAGCTTCACCGACATTCACTCAGCTACGGCTAAGGTTTCCCCCGTCGCAGCCTCCACTCCTACTGCCGCGGGTGCAGATGCAGTCGCGGGCACAAGTTCGGGATCTACTACCGAAATCAGTAGCTCAGCAAGTGCATCACCTGTGTTCAATAGTGCTTCGCCCTTGACTGTTTCCAACGTTCTGTCTGCGCTTGGTGCTATCGCCGCTCTCGCGCTTTTCCTTTGAGTACATATCTCTTCTCTGTATAATCTTTCTCTGAATTATAATGAATTTTGGCATTTTCTCAAGGCTCAAGTCTCAAGCCGTGTTATACATTCAGTCAATCTTATATGTTTGCTTTCACGAAGGCTTGATTGAACTCTCAAAGTCCCAAACAAAGGCATGAAAAATCCTTCAAGCCGGTTCATATAGTCCCATACAATAGAAGTACAATAGTTTTTTTTTTGCAACATGTTCATAATCTTTCAAGATAAGTTATATTCCTCTGCTCTTGCTAAAAGCTCAAAGGCCTTTGTGTGCGCCTATCTAATTGGTTGCCTCTCAATATTCTCTTCATTGGCGGGCTTGTCATAGCCCATTTAGAGGCAGTGTATTGAATCCTCCAACTTGTGACTCCTAATTATTGATCCAGGTATGACCCGGACACCTGATGTAAAAGCACAAACGCTCAGCTGGGGGTGGAATACCAATCACATTGGCAGACCGGTCACCTATATTTGAGCTATATACAATATCGGCATATGTAAGAACAACCTAAAACAGAAATAGTGAAAAACAATAAATTATAGACTACGCTCATGACGAATGTTGTAGCGCTCCCGAGGTCATTAACCTATCAATCTTGTACAACATACAACATGTGTACTTGTGATGTCTTATTCGCCGCCTCCCCCGCCCCCAGAGAGAAAGAGGGGTGTTTTGCCGCCCGGGTTTTCCGTTTTTTTTCCCTTAGCTTATGGGGGTAGGAGGGAATTACAGTTTGGGGGTTTCCCTATGTTGTACTCGAATCATATAGTGCAGCTAGGAAATATGGAGATGTGTGTTTCAGGGAATAAGCTGCCGAATGTAGCCGGTCGGGCATCGTTGGTCATGTTATCCGGTTTTTTTTTTGTTTTTTATTTTCCCTTTCCCTTTTTGTTTCTGTAGGTTGAGTTTTTGGTGCATTTATTATCTACGTATGTATATTGGTTGTAAACATCCCATCAATAGTGTGAGTAATGTAGGCAGGTACTATATGTACATTTAGGTCGTGGTACCTTGAAAGAGTCGGATGAACTGCACCGAAGATAGAGCATGGCAAGGCACGAGGTCCGAGTGACTTTATCTTTTCTAGAATTTATGAGTACGCACGGTCTTCGGTGCTTGTTGTATTTAAGTATTTTAAGTATTTAAAGATTAATAATGTAGTTCTATACCCCTCTTAGAGAAACAAGTTCAATATAAATGTGGGACTTTTTTTTTCGGCACGTAAAAAATGTATGCGCCTTTTAAGCAGATAGGCACATGAATATAGAAGGGCTGTTAGCGGCTCAGATAAATACTTGTCAAGGCACTTGCCTTTGCCTCCAGGAGTAAGTACATGTATGGAGTACCTACACCTAGCCATGCATCATGACGCTACTCCGTATTAGGATGCAGACTGCAGGGATCAACATCGAAGTCCTTCGTTGAGGGCGGAGTTGTTTACGGTGAGTCAGAGCCCCCTCCCCCTCCCTAGGTGGCCAGTTAAACTGTGTCTGACATGTCAGAGAGACCAGATAGAAGAGGCAGGGAGAGTGGTAGATGGAGTGCTTGTCAGATGCATGGTCTCGGCTGCCCTTGCTTGGTTGTACGGGGTAATGGGCGCGTGTGATTGCATATCGAGGGATAGTAGAGAGTAAATGACCCGACGACAGCTGTAAGGATGTTAGTTTGTTAGTTTGTTGACTATATTGCCTACTTTGTATGTACTCCATACTCCATAGTGGTACATATTTGGAGGGAAGTGGGTATGGAAGAGTCCGGATGAACACTGCCGCAGGTAGCACTACGTAGGGGGGTGTTTTGTAGACTGAGCAACGGAGGAATGCGACATTTGATGTTTACGGGTATTTTTTTCATAGATATATTTCATTTCATGTTCACCATTTTCTATTTACTTTTCCCTATTTACTTTTCAATTTTCAATGTTCAATGTTCAATATTTTCAAATAGAATTGAAATTATAACTGAGCTTACTAAGAGTCCCCGAAGAGTATTCGAAGTGGAGCAGCCTTTTTTTAGTTTTTTAGTTTTTTTTAGTTTTTTTTTTCTGCCAACTCATTACAGTACCAAGTGAGTACCAAGTGGGAACCAGTGAGAATCAGTGAGAACCAGTGACACGGGCGTTGCATCACCGGATTTGCCTTAAGGGTCTAGGGCCCTTTTTCTTTACTATGAGAGACCTACCTTACAATACAATTACACTATATCTGGTCCACGTTCCAATCTCTTGTGGGAAACACCGGATGATTTTTATAGTATTTAAAAAAAGAAAAAAGAAAAAAGAAAGAAAAAGGTGAGAATCAAGAAAGCCCAGTAAGAACTAGATATAATCCCAGATAAGTATCCAATCATTAATACTATATTGTACATAGTTAGCCTAATTTATTTGATACTTAGTAGAGACACAATGTGCGAAACACTGTCCTTTAAATTTAGAATTTCCATATGTGGGCCAAGTGACTCCTTCCCTGTATCTTAAATACATGTAAAATTACGGGGCAACCCAACGGCCTTTTCCCACACAACGCCCCTATACACTTTTCTTCTCTTCATCCTTCTTCTCAACCTCTTTTCTGTATCAACCTTCTCCCGTGTCAACGAGCTTTTCACTAAGTGTCGTTGATCACCTCATTCTGTGAGGTTTGCTCTACGCGTGGGGAATTTTTTTTTCTTCCACCGGTGCTCTTCGTTCTCCCAGCGCGTTCAGTTCACTCTACGTGGGCTCTTCCGCTTCGCTTCGACCTGGTTATTCGCCTCTCAAAGCACTTTGAATTGACTGGATTGTGATCTACCACCTTCCCTCCCAGGCTGCGTCATTTCGACACTCCAACCGAGGACTGTGTCTCGTTCACCCGTTCACCACGCTCTTTCCAATTCTCATTTACCCATTTGTCCGTTGGATCATTGAACGCACCTCAATGTCATTCAACTAGAGACTGCCTCCTAGGAAAACGACAGAGCGATCCGCTCGCCGAGCACCGCTCTTCTCCTCTTCCTCTCCCCCCAGGATCAGGATCTGGTGGAGTAGACGGTTCGTCCCCTTGTTTCTTTAACTCTTGTCTCTCGGTCCATCTGGCTTTTGCCTACCCCGGAGGCCTTTTGTGCTGATTCCTCGCCTTCCCTGGCAACAGAATACGTCTAGCTCCCCGTCCTGAACTGGTTACCGCCCCTCCCCTTCTCAAGATGCCGTCCTTCTTCGTCCCAGGCCACCATGGCCTGCCTACGCCTCCCCATGTCAACGGTGGTGGTCGTATGGAAGACCCGTCATTCTACCCGGTTGGTCATGCAGGATTTCCTCCTCGCTACCACCAAAGCGGTAATGAGTTCATCGAACAGTACTCGCAATCTCTGTGCTACGCCAAACCCAATTCGATGAATCTTCACCCCCAGTCCGCCCATCCGATGAACACTGCTCGCGATCATCATATGATGAACCAGCAGCCCATGTTCAACCCCATGGTTGGCGCTGGATTGCCCTCGATCCGCAGCAACGTCCAACTTCCGCCCATGGACGCTTCGATGCCGCCTCAATACCGTCGACAGGAAGTTGCCCCGATGCAACAGCAGCCCGAACAACCCCGCAAGGAGGAAAAGGCAACTGGAGGTGTTGCGGCTCACCTGGATTATGAGATGGATCGCATGTCCGACTTTGTGGCAGAGATGGCTCAGGGAATGTATGATTTGTTCGAGACCAACATCACCATTGCAGATATTGACCTCGTCCGAAGCATCTACCCAGGATCTTCGGTTCCCCCCCAGTTTCGGAAATACGTCTTCCAGATTTTGTCCTCGACACGCCTCCCAAGTTCTACCATTCTACTCGGTCTCTTCTATTTGGCCAGCCGTGTGCGCCTGTTATCAGCCCAACGCGCCTTCACCAAGACAGACAGTAGCCAGGTCTATCGCATGTTGACTGTGGCTCTTCTGTTGGGCAGCAAGTTCCTTGATGACAACACCTTCCAGAACAAATCCTGGGCTGAGGTTAGCAACATCCCCGTTGCCGAGTTGAATCACATGGAATTGGAATGGCTTTTCGCTTTCGACTGGAAGATTCACGACCGCATCTACGACAAGCAGGATGGTTTCGCCTCGTGGCGCGCGCACTGGGATACCTGGCGGACCAAGGCTACGGCTCGGGCTCAGGAGTCTCGCCAAACTCTAGCGCCTCTCGAGACCAAGGTTATCCGTGGTCAGGCTGTCACCAAGCCCCTTATGTCCCCCGAAGGCCCCATCCCGCCGCAGTACCAGCGCAGCTCGCAAATCGAGAACTCTTGGCTCAACCCGACCGCGTCCGAATACTCGCCTCCCTCTGCCCTTTCCAGCGGCCCCACTACCCCCGACTACTACTCGGTTGGCCCTTGGGGTTACGCTAACCCGCCTCCGCCTCCGCCTTACTCGCGAGGCTGGAACGCACCCTCACAGTACATGGCTCACCCCGCACCTCGATCCCAGCCCCCATCCTACCACCACACTCCGGCGTACGGCTTGCCATTCGCACAGAGTCTTTGGACGGGCCACGGTTCATCGTGCGGCTGCACCTACTGTGCTAAGCATCTCGAGCACTACATGTGCAACAATGCATTTACCTCCATGCAGCAGCCGATGATCGCAACCTAGTTGACGATACTTGACATATTCTGTCCATGGCCCCGGGGGGAACAGACGGTGTCAACGGCTCGAGACCACCCGTTTTGCTGCCCCTTTGAATTTCTTCTTACTGCAACTCTAGACTTCTTTCAACGTTTGTTTGGGCGATTCGCGTGGGATTTATTTCAATACCGTTTCTCCTTCTGCCTGAATTGTTTCAGCCTTGCGCCTTTCGACCTTTTTTGCCTCCTATAGCTTTCACCTGCTTCTGAGCAATTGGCCTACCGCGTCTCCAAAAAGTACTTCTGTTCTGCGTCCGCTGGTTCTCGTTTGGCAAAGCGAAAAAATCTCAAAAAATGGAAAAAAAAAGAGGAAAAAACGCTCCCACAGCGGACATTGGCATGCTCCCGGCAAGCCCACGATGCAAAATCTCGACTCAAATTGCTATATTGATATCGCTTTGATTTCATCGAGTCTTACTTTCGATCTCATTGTGAGGTCTTTATATCTTTTGACTCCAAAGGTTGCCGGGGCCGCAGTCACGACTATCACGAATCCCCAAAATCTGACTTCTTTGTTTATTACCCACGACTTCGGTTTATATCCTTGGTCCTTTTGTTTTATGCTTGGCATTTGTGTCTCGCGGTGATTACCCATAGAGTGCTTCCTTTTTTCTTTTCACTTCCATCTCATCTCGGTACATTATTCCCATTCGCCACGCTACGTGCAGTGCCCGACGTTAATTTTTTTTTTCGCTTCTCATCTCAAATCTTCAATTGTTCATTCACTTTTTTTTTTTTTTCTTCTCTCAATTCCTTCAATTTTTTATTATCTTCCTCTGATGAGACTTTCTTCTCCAATCAATGAGATCAACAATCCAAGGATCCTTTCCAACCCTTCTAAGCTGCATGATGTATTCCATCACCCCCATCTCTCTTTCTCCTCACTCGTGAAACGGATGACAAACGATTGATCTTGGGATCTCTTCTCTCTGCGACATCTTCGCATGTATCCGGGTTTATCAGTACCCTCGGTGCATCTTCCGTCTGATCTGTTGAGTTCAGTCAGTCCTCGCGACTGACCCCCTATGTAGTCTACTTGAATTTGTCTTCTCTTTTGACTTGCTTCCATCTACTGGCCATTTGCCATTCGGCGCTGCTGGCGAGCCAGGGACGTCACATTTCCCGTCTCCATTGGTCATGTCTTGGCTCGGCTACTGGCATCCGGCTATGGCTGTTGACGGTCAGTTCTTTGAAGATATCTCATTTAATTAGCGGCAAACTATTGTCTTTGTCGGGACTGCAAACTTTTGGTGTTTGTCCCAGGACTTGTATCAATATCTCCCTCGTATCTTCCGTATGAGTAGTGTCTTCTGTTTTAATAGTGAGCCTCTACTCTCTATCTACTGCTAGTTTTAGCAACGTCTTGGGTTATATGGCAGTTTCCTTTTGGGTATTTAAATACAAGCCGGGTCTCGTTATCAATTTTGTAATAGACTTCGATTCTAGCCTAACTCCAAAAATGGCCATCAGGCTGAAATAAGATATAGGTAAAAATGCAGTTATACTAGTGGGTAATCACAATTCATCCAGACAGTCGTCGCGGGTCGTAAGAGTAGGTGCAGATAAGAAAGAAACAAGAACCAGTAAGAAATAAGGATAATTATGCAGACGTATAAAGCAGTCAAGGCATCAACGAAGGCAACCGGAATAGTATTAGTAGACGCTCCCTTGGATGCTCTGATCTTGCTTTTGTTGCTCTTCTAAGGATAATTCCTCGATGTGGAGATGAGATGGAGAATCTGTTGACGAACTTTCTTGTCCTCGCGTCTGTGATTCTGAGTGGTTGGATGACTCGTCTCCGTCGCCTAGGATATTGGCCATGCGGTGCTCGGATTGGTCAGTAGAAGAAGAAACATGGTGATGATGATGGTGGTGGTGATGATGGGGATGATGCAGGCGAGCCTTCTTCATTTTCTCGGTGCGATTGCCACTCATCTCGTCATCGCCGTCATCTTCGAGCTCCTGAGAGGGACCTGAATGTTGGGTTTGCTCGCTGGACGGGAATTCGAAGTGTTGCTGGTTCGCATGGGACAAATTGCTAGGGGTGAGGCTGGGAGAGGTTGGTGCAAGATGACGGTGATGAGCGTGATCGTCTCCCTCGTCGTCGGATGGGGCGAGGCTATTTGCTCCGCTCATGGAGCCTCCACCGTCACGGCCACCAAGGTGGAGGAGGGCGTACTTTAGGTGCGCTGATGATGAAGATGTAGCTGTTGGCAGGTGGGGCAGATGGTCTTCGCTATTTCGGTTCAGTCCATGGAAGTTCGGGCGTTTTGGATGCAATGGATTCACGTTTGGCCGGGCTTCTGAGCTAGAATCGTATTGCTTGGTGTCTCCGTTGTCATCGTCGCGAAGTGTGTGCTGCGGGTTGGAGACGTGACGAGCGCTGGGTTTGCGGCTGGTCTCATTCTGGGCCGAACTGTCTTCCGAGGACGATACTACCTCATCGATGGATATAGACTTGTGAAGCTTGGAGCCAAAACTGCCTGCATAGTCATCGGTATGCTTTGGTTGAGCGTAGCTATGCTCGTGACGCATAGAATTCAAAAGATTCGCTCGCACCGATTGTTTTCCCTCTGCAGTCATACCATGAGTGCAGCCGTCGGGGCAACCGCCCCACTTGCGCCGAATTGGGATGTGATCAGTGAGGCCGACATGACCAGCAGGCGGAACGGGCGCAGGGACCTGCTCTTTGGATGCATTTTCACGCTCTCGATCTTTTCGTAGATCTGACCAGGTGCGAAGCTTGTTCTGTAGTGTGTACTTGCCGTTTTCTGGGTTGTGGGTCAAGACCAGGAACTCGCAATGGTTGATGTTACGAAGGTCCTCAAAGTATTCCACGCTCCAGTGATACCACTTCATGAGAAATACGCGTGCCATGAGGCCGTGTGTAACAAGCACACAGACATTTGCAAAGTCGTCCTCACCAAACTGGCGCCAGAGGGACTCGTTAAACCCACTCACTCGATCATAGGCATCCGCTGCGGATTCACCATTGGGAATCCGGTAGAAGAAATGACCATAGTCTGCTCGCTCCATCCACATGCGCTCCATCTCCGTTGAACATGGCTGGAAATTACCAAAATCTTGTTCTCGCAGCCGGGGTTCTTCATAAACTTTGATTGTGTGTCTCTGGAAAGGCGAAGGAGCGGGTGTATCGGCTGTTAGGGATTCAATAATTCCCTCGGTAGTCTCTCTTGTCCGCCGATAAGGGGAGGTAAAGAAGTGAAGTTTATCGTCGGGTTGCAGGAGGTCACGTAGTCGTCGGCCTGCATCCTGGGCTTGTCGATGTCCTTCAGCAGTGAGTTTCACACGGTGGTCTGGAATAGTCTGATGAATGTCTCGGTTTTTGTTGCCTTCTGACTGTGCATGGCGCACTAGAATGATCATCTATAAGTAGGAAAGAGGTCATTTTAAGACAAAATACATCTCAATCACTCAGAAATGGAGACTTACCCGTGGCTTCCCCATGGTGGAAGGATCATGGGGAATGTAATGGATTGCGAATGCGGGGGAGGGGCTAGCAGAAGTATCTAATTTGCTGCAAGAAGGACGCCGATAGGGGGAAACGAAAATAAAAGAACAACGATCACCGAGATATTCGTCTATATCAAGCGGATAACAGTTTGGAAGAGAGAGGAGTCAAAAAAGCAAAGAAAAAGTTCATTCCAGTCGGAGATACAACTGACCCGCACGGGCCAACGGGCGGGTGGTCCATTCAGCGCGCCTCTTTTACGCAACTTCCGAACAGCATCAACCCGCCATGGCCGACTTGCTGGAGCTACTCGCTCCACATCTAGATCCAACTCAATCGCATGATGTAACTACCGACAAATATCTCACTCGCCTCTCAACCTTGTCGCTCGAAGCTCTCCAGACCACAGAACCCCCATCGCTTGCCCAATCCTCCCACTCGACCCTTCTCTCCCTTCAAGCCCTATCGAACCGTTCGCACCGGGCATTTGTGACCTCTGCCGATAATTTGTCTACACTATGTACATCTGTCCCACAGTTGACCCGTGAGGCGCAACAGCTACGCGATGCTATCCCCAAACTCGACGAGGAGGCCGTTGGGTTCTCCACCAAATACAGTAAAATCACAGACAATGCCGCCCTAGAACGACGGAAGAAAGCGATGCAACTATCTCGAAATGTCGATAGATTGTCAGATATCTTGGAACTACCAAGTCTGCTGTCCAAAGCCGTCTCCGCGGCCTCAGTAAACTCCGGTACAGGTGTCTCCTCTACAACCTACTCCTCTGCCCTCGACCTGCATGCACATATCAAGCGACTACAAACATTATACCCCGAATCACCATTGATTCTAGATGTTGCATCTCAGGCGGAGGATGCTATGAAGGACATGACAAGCAATCTGATCACGGGGCTCCGAACCCAGAACCTGCGGCTAGCAGCTGGTATCCGAACTGTGGGTTGGCTGCGGCGAGTAGCCCCGGATCTAGACATGATACAAAGTGATGGGGTCGTTGGGACAGGAGAAGGCGCTCTTGGGGCCATCTTCCTGGTCTGCAGACTAGCGCATTTGGTGTCGACCCTTGAAGCTCTGGATCCCCTCCGCGAGCTTGCGGACCAAGAAACCCAACGGAGACTCGGTGGCAGGGACAAATCAGACACAGCCTCGTGGTCTGGCGGTCAGCAGACTGACCGCTACTTGAAAAGATACATTGAGATCTTCCGTGAGCAGAGCTTTGCAATTGTCTCGCTATACAAGAATATTTTTAACTCTGAGCAATCCGAATCCGAGTTTGCCATCTCAGGTTTACGAGGTGCAGACGCCCACTCCAAGGCCAAGTCAAAGCCAGCACACTCAGATGACCCCTTGCAACGTCTCCCCCCGGCTTTGGCTACTTTCCCCATGCATCTCGTTCAATTGCTCACGGATACAATGCGCTCCTATCTTCCCAACGTCCGAGATCGGAGTTCGAGGGAAAGTCTTCTCACCCAGCTTTTGTACTGTGCCGCAAGTCTTGGTCGTCTTGGTGGTGACTTTGGCATGATTTTAACCGAGCTGGGCGAGGAGGAAGATACCGACGATATGGCCTACGAATGGGAGGAGGTCATGCGCAAACATCGAGCCTTGGCAGGGCGTCTAGAACAATTGACCAGTCGGGTGCCAGTAAATTAACATTCATATACCCAAGCGAAAGTACAATTTCATTTCTAGATGGCGGTGGCACCTGGCAGGGTCTGTGTATAATAAAACATAATGAAACGCTCTCATTTTCTCAGTCTTTTCAGCGGACTGTCTAATTAACTAGAACTACCCACATACAAATGCATCCTGATAATTTATACCTCGTTTGCCCTAAAGGCTCTAGCTATGCTAGCAATACTTCATCGCCCACTTACCTACACATGCTACGGTGCTTCAGTCTAATGCATACGCAGAGATTAGAGTGATAGATCGATGAGCCCCCTTTTCTTCGAACGATTGGTTCTGATATTTCACAGCATACCCATAAAAATCCAAGAAGTAGTGATTCGAGCACCATTGAAACATTCGACAATGGACGGCAATTAACCATAGCAAAGAATTGTATGCCGGAACCCACAGCGATCTGTGACGTTCTGTGCTTTGCTATTTGGATGATAGCGCATTCCTATGCTCTGCTGCTTGTATTTGCCTTCCTGATAGCTACTTCCCGTGGGATGTTGCCGGTCATTATCACGTCTGTGATGGTAGAGGTGGCCTTAACTGGCTACCTTCAAACCTTGTGCCGATTTGTCTTGCTCTGGATATACCCACCACTGTTGCCGAAACTATCGCTCAGTCTAGCTGCCACCTCCAGATAGGTAAGCACACAGGTGTATGTGGCATGCTCATTCATCTGTAGCGGGCTTATTTTGCTGTTGGAACGTGAGCACGGCAGTGTTTCTAGTCATGCTTTGCATGCCGTTCTGAGTCACATCGTGTGGGTTCGGGCAAGATATCTTTGCACGGACCAGTGAAACACTAGAGGGACAGTAACTAGCAAGAGGCTGAGGGAACCAAAATATCTACTCCGTCCAGGGTATCATCGGGCTAACTGTAGTCTTCCCCACAATTGGTTAGCCTTCATTTACCGAGTGACTCACAAAGATATTAAGGAGCCTTGCGCAGCTATAATCCAAGGCTATATAAAGTGAACCTTTGGAATTACTATAGACATCCCACTTGAGACTCTTACAAATTTGTGTGGCTTTTGTCAAAATGGTCGTCCACTATAACCCGCTCACCAAAGAGCCCTATCTCCAACTCCCAGCACCATGTGCAAACATCATCATGACCCCACACCGTGAACACCAGATCGAGGAGGTATCTGCTGCAATGACCGAATTTCTCAATGATTCACGGGTGTACTCCTGGCTGCAAGGGCCACCCTACCCGTTTCTGCCGGAGCACGGTGTGGAATGGGTCAAAATGAAAATAGCAGAGCAGGAGGAAGTCGTGTCTACTCTGCAAAAAGAATTCGAAACACCGAAAAGTCAGCAGGGCGACAGTCTAAATATCCAAGAGGAACCAGTGTTCTTTGATAAATTCCCCTTCCTTTGCATACGCGAAGTAACAGAAAGAGATCCTGCGACCGGCGCTCCGCTTCAAGATGTCTGGATTGGAGATTTTAATCTCACGCGGTATGCTTTCTATGAGTTGCAACCCAATAGCCCGGAGCTTGCGCTGGCACAGAAGCAAAATAAAGATTTGCCTGCAGGGCACAAGGATATCGTCTGGGGTATAGGATGTATGAGCACCCCAATGAGACTCGAGCTCAATTGCTAACAACTTTGACAGATTATCTTTCTCCTACTCAACAAAGCCGAGGAGTTATGAGTGCTGCTGTTCGAACTGTCGTTCAAGATTGGGCTATCCCTCGGATGAACCTTCATCATCTTAAAAGCAGCTATTTTGTTGGGAATACAGGGAGCTCGAGGGTACTTGAGAAGAACAACTTTGAGGAGATTGGTACATTCAAAGACTGGGCTCCAGCAAGCCCAGCGAAGGGACTAGGCCCGATGTCGATTGTTGTGATGGAGTGGAAAGGACTTTTATAGGCTATCAAGCAATGTCAGGGCCTAGAAAACGTTCAAAACTCGCTTGGGCAATTGTTCCATGTTGTAATTACTAGATTGTACTTCGTACTCTATAAAGTTACCACTTGGTACATATATATTATAGGTACGGAGTACGGCGAGTATTATTGAAGTCTCGGTCGATTTGTACAACAGATAACATAGTTGGATGATCTTGCTTGTCTTAATACCACGTAGTCAGTCTACCGATCTCAGTGGAGAAAATACTTTGTGAGGGGTACAAGTCAGGGACAGAACGGGGCCATAATCGCCGGGGGAGAAGGGGCATTCATCGCAATCAATCTGAGATAGTGAAATTGATATATCAAGTTGGTGCATGAGCGATCACATTGTTTAGCGTTGAGCTGAGAGCAAAGTGACCAAACCTGTAAAAGCCGAATCTATTCCACTCCGTAGATATTTGGAATTGATCATGCGATTACTGCCGGATCCACTCTACAATCATTGCCGAAGTTCCTATGGGGTACTTCGTACTTTGTAGTCGATCTCAGGTTTCAGCCTTTCAGCATTTGTAAAGGAAATCGGGTGGGTCTCAGATCTCAACCAGATTCATGCTCATGCCCGATCTATCACCTATGTTGTAGATGTGTGATGCACCTACAATGCATCTACGGGCTCACAAAATATTGATTGCTTTATATTACTCTTTTAGCTCCTTACTCGGTTCAAATCCAAATGCAAATAAAGACAAGTGAATCACAAGTCGGGTTGGAAGAAATGGAATAAGCAAATTAACCAAAATCCAATAACGCGACCAGGGAGACTTTTTAGGCGTCGGGAAGATCATTGAGCGAATCAATGCCATCAATGCCGGATGTGAAGTATGGGGTCGTTTCTCTTTTTCCTAAATAGGAATGCGCATCTTGCATTTATGTGGCCGATACGAGCTCAGCTAACACAGCTGACTTCTTCCGACGCCCCATATTTCTCGTATTCTGTTCAATGGATATCTTGTACACGAAGAAATTACTCCTAGAATTAATTGAAATTTCCTCTCAAAAAAGCAATTATTAGAGACCGTGTCTAGAGCATTTCCAGCTCAAATAGTCAATAAATTCGACGTTTCATCACACATCAGTTATTTCCATCTTACTCGGTACGTGCGAATACTCCGTCAGGGTGACAGAAAAAGAATAGCTGTGATCCTTTCGGCGACGGATGAGTTGCGCGAGGGATGAAGAGGAATTGCGAAACATTCAACATATTGTAGGCCATTCCATTCGACCCTGTATGTGCTACCCTGTACGGAGTACTACTCTGTGAGTCTGATATGCTGGAGTTTTCAGAAATGTCAGCCTACAAATCGGGTAATGATACCTGGGTTGAGTACGGAGTAGCAAGGGGAGAAATGCCGGATGCCGATTGGAATGAAGCGAGCTCAAAAAAGCGGGTGATTAACCCTGGAGGGAGACCAGACCCATCAGCTTGCATAGCTTATTAGGTGCATGATTTGAATAGCGCTGTAGATCGCGAGATCGAAAATTTAGTTCACCTTGGCACTTTCAGGTATATTATTGACTCCGTCTCCTTTCCTCGGCCAACACATAGACAAAGAGTATCAGGATCCATTTTCTTCATCATGCATCTTTCAACTATAAGTGTGCTTCTTTCAGTTGCTCTAGCAGAAGCCGCATCCTTCGTCACTCCTATCAGGCACAAGACAAAGAAGGTTAGCCCTAATATCCATTTTGCGATGCCCCAGGTCATTCAAGTTTCGATACTAATCCATGGATACTTCTTAGGAGCCAGATTACCCGAAAAGATGCTACCCCGACCCCTGTAAAGGAGTGACCTACGTGAACTCTACTGCTGTTTGCGGTGACCCACGACTTGGTCCGAAGCACCTCCCTAAATTTTTCCCTCTCTCCAATGAGCTCGAGACATACTCGCGCTTCGGCGAGCTCTGCCCAATCGAGTTCTTGGAGAAATGGACCGTGAATGCTTCCGACCCCAAGGGTTACTGGATCTATCCAGACAGCGACGGATTTGCTGCAACATCCAAGAATGAGTCTATTCTAGGGAATTTCACACTCCGCGTGGGCCAGAAGCTTGATAGATTCGGGTCTGAATATGGAAAGTTCCTGGCACCTCTTGGAGCTCCATATATCGAGCGGTCCCTGCCACCATCCAATCTTTTCGCGCCACCCAACAGCAGCTTCCCGTACAACTACCATGTCTACGAGGTGACCAAATCATTTGATATTATCTTGGGACCCATTGCGGCTTGGTTTGAGCAGCCCGGGTTTGGATCGCAGCTTTTGGCTCAATCCAGTGTCGCGGATTTGGTGGAAGGGGGTTTCTTGAAGAGACTGGAATTGAAGGATTATGATGAAGCTGAAGAATACTCTGCCGGTTATCTGGCGGCTCCCGAGAAACCTTCCACCTAAGTATGTCTTGGGTACGGAGATACATGTCACTAAGCAAGATGGGGATATTATTTTCGGGACATTGAGTTCTCTTTCTTGCAGTTAATGCTGATTATATTTTAATGACCAAATCAAATGTCACTAATAGCTTTTAAATATTCATACCCTGCGATTCTACCAAGAAACCTTGTACGAAAAAGCCAAAAAAAAAAAAAAAAGAACTTGGCTTTATTAAGGGCAAATTAACGAAACAATATTATGAGAGCATGATTAGATACAACCTTGGAATGAAAAGTCTTTCAAATATATTATATTCCAAGCGTCTACCTCCCAATCTCAAATCGGAATGGCATTACTGACTTTCCGATTTAGTTTGACAGGGTACCCCAGCATGCTATTATTTGTTAGTCTGGAAATCAAGGAGTACAAGTACAGCAGGACATACTCCTTTCCGGTTTGAGTGCAGCCGCAACCACAGAAGATCGATAGGGGGTAGCAGACGACCTAAAGAATAGTTTGTCATGAGCCTGGAGTCAATCAAGAGTGTCTTCAAGCTGCCCCCCCGAGAAGATACTATATTTACTTACCGCTGCTACAATGGTAGTGAAAAACCCTGTTCGTTTCATCAGGCATGGGCTCAATTTCCAGCAATTTACACCGCAGAAGAACCGAACTTACCGAGTGTCGGGCCAACCACCTTGCAATTACATGGGTTCTGATCAGTGCCACATTGGAAGCAGATAGGGAAGATCGGAAAGAAAGGGACGTCACACATCGCGTCGGATTTGGCTGAGTTGCTAGGTCTTCAACTAAAATATGTAGAGAGATGTCCCGGCCTTCATCCAGACAGAAGAAAGGAGCTTCCCCGGACGGAAGATTCACCGCCCAGTTACGTTGTAGTCGTGAGTTCGGGATTCTATCATGATGACGCAGATGAGATCAAGATCCATCGATCATCCTGTTTAGGTAGTAGTGGGGAGCTTTAGTTCATGTTGGGGTATTAGAGATGATATTGATAGCGATAACAGGCAAATATACCAGCGTGTATTATATATCAAACCGACCAGATCAAAGTAGATTAATTTGGATTATACATATCTTCAGATATCTTCGGGGCTAAATTTAACCTCAAAAATGCCCCCCGGGACGGGGCCGGGGCCTCCCGATAAAAACTCAGCAAGTGGCTATGTACCATGGAAGCCACAACACAGCCACGATCCGCGCCATTTCCCCTCGAATCAAACGTCACTCTTGACTCTAAAGCGGGATCGTTAAAATACAAAGGGTCTCAAAGCCCCTGCGTCTTAGGTTCTTATATTCAGCCTTTCCCGTTGGAATTTAAACAGCATTCCAGTTGTGCAAGAAACATCCAGATCCACTCCAGGCAGCAACCGTGCCTAGAAAAGACCCAAGGCTACAACAATTTACAACAAGACACCTATTCTTGGCATATAGTCCTTTGTTTTTTTGTCCGCCCCGTTTTCCTCCCCTGATTCCACCCGCACGAATCTTCAGATCTTCGCCTCGTTTTCCCCAAATTCAAAAATCCCGACTCACTAGACTACCCTCCGGTACCCCGATAAACAAACCCCCCCACTATGGGCGCCCGCACTCTCCTTCCCCTCATCCTGCTCCTCGTCTTCGTTGGCATTGTTGCCGCGGTCGGGTTCGTCGTCTACAGCATCGTGCAGGATGTAGGCAAAAACACGCGCGCAAAGATGGAGCGCAAGAATATTGCTCTCACCAGGGATGGCATGAAAGTGCAAGTAAGGGAGGTCAAAGATGAGGCCTACAAGGACCGGACCCAGAGGTGCGTTGTCTTGCTGTTTAGTTTTCCCGCCCTTGCTTGTTCGTATCGACTGACCCGATATTTCCCCCATAGTGTCCTCTTCAACATGTGGAACCACACTTCCTTCCCCGCTTACAAGAGCCGACTTTGGGATATGACTGGCTCATCTTCGACGGAGCAGACGAAGGATGCTGAGAAACGCAAGTAGTATGTCGGACCCACATTAATTTTGATTATTTTCCTAGTTCGATAGGACTGACTCGTTCTGCACCAGGTTTCGCAGTAACACCACTTCTCTGCTCGCGATTTACCCTGGACATATTTTCTGCCTCTATTTCCATTTCATCTACAAGTTTCATCGCATGCTCTAGTCCCTGGGAAAGGGCTGGTTCCCGAAAATTGCGGGCACTCCTGCTTCGAGGGGTGAACTTCTTCGACATTTTCACATTCTTGTTCATACCCATTTCTTTATGGCCCAAGTTAAAGCCTCATGAATGATGGCCGACCCTGATACATGATTATACTTTCCATCCCACTTCTCTTTCCTAAATTAATATTCCAAACTCGACTTTGCTTTGAGATCGCGTCTAGTTCAAGTTGTTCAGTATACTACATACCGACAGATGAAGTTTTGAGGTGATGTCAATTGATAGGATAGGGTTGGATTCTCATGGCCCGGTAAATAACTATGCTAGGCATAGTTCCAATCCATTGAACTGATATTGATACCATAAAACGGGAGATCAGCATTTCTAGCCGGAAATATCAAGGATCATACCTCAGTATTCCACCATAGTTGCATCATCAATATGAATATGGCGATTCCCCATTTCCATCCCTTATGCCTTAGCCTTAGCCTTAGCCTCGGCCTGGCGACGTGCATAGTAACTCTCATCCTGGTTCAAAAGGAAGAACGGTTCCGGTTCCGGCTGCCCACTACCACCATACCAGGTCGGCTGAACCAACGCCTTGGGTGTATCGTCTCGTCGCTTGTTCGTGAAAGCCGTTTCGAAGGTCTTGGCCCACTGGACCCTGTTGTTCAAGCCCTCAAGCCCCCACAGCTCCTGCAAGAAATGCAGAATTGAGCTATGGGTGTAGGCCGAATTGTCGGCATACATGGTGCCTTGATCGTGGATGAGGAGGTTGGCGGGTACCCAGGGCGAGATTATGAAGGCAGGGACACTATGATAAAAAGATTAGCCGATTACTCATGGAGCCAAACCTAAACTGATATTGAGATGCATACCGGACTCCCAGGCGAGTAAAGTCATACGTAAAATTGTGGTTTGATGACTTGCCCTTGAAGATGATACCGTCTTCGGGCTGAGGCACGTTGACTGGAGTAGGGACATGGTCCGCAAACCCACCATGCTCATCAAAGTTGATGATCAAAACACTGTATCCGTATATTAGTATTTCCGCACCCAGCATGAGGATAACGGAACTGACGCATTGTCCCAGTACTTGGAGCGACGCAGGGCGTCGTACAAGTGCTTGACCATCTGCTCCCCTGCTGCCATACTGCTGGTAGGATGCATCGAGTCAACTGTACAGCACTCCGGGTTCAGGTACGAGAATGAAGGCAGTGTGCCGACTTCCAGGTCATGGTAGAGCTCCGTTGCATGGACGAGACGGTCCATTGCATTGTCTTGTACCCACTTGATATTATCGTTAGTCAACGAGCTGGCATTTGAATAGGTATAAGGAGTGACTGACTTTATACATGAATCCATCGATTATGTCGGTCTCGTAGTACTATGTAGAAACGTTTAGCTAGTGGTCAGTATAAAGAAGAGAGACCTATCTCACATTCTTCCAGCTGATATTTTTCTTGCTGAGCGATTCAAAGATCGAGACCGCACAAGTAGTTCCAGTCACATTGTTCCAGAACCCAGCGGACTGATCAGTGTTATCGACAAAACCACAGGATGAGCCCGAGGTTGCGAATTGGCGGTTGGGATTAGTGGGACCCGGGTGCTCGGCGAACTACAAAGTAGGGTCAACAGTCAGTCATCTGAAACAATATGTTGTACTCCGTAGTAAAGTACAAATCAAAGGATGACCCACATATGAATCAAAGAAGGCGAAATTGCTTGCCAGCTCCACCAGAGTGCTAGTCTTCCTCTGGTTCAAGGCCTTGATCACGAATGCTGAATCTCCAGGGGTAGCATTGTACTTCTCCGATTGGCGCTCGACGAAACCTCCCATATTGGGGGCATCCTCTTTTGTCGGGTTCCACCCGCGGAAGATTTCGTAGGTGACTCCGCCAAAGTTGTGATCCGGGTCTTTTAGTGGCACCTCGGTCGCATACGGCTCAGCGCAGATTGCTAGCGGCTCCCCATAAACTGTCCAATTAGGGTTGGTGTAGTCATTGCAAAAGGTGAGATTGCGCAAATTGTCAATTTCTGGATGAAAGTCCCAATAGCCAGCGATGTTGTCAAACGAGTGGTTCTCAAGAGTCAGATAGATGACATGCTTAATCTGGGAGTGCTCTTATCAGCCATCTGGTCCTTCGAGGTCCTAGTACGGTCCACTCACATTTTCTCGCAGCTGGCCCCACACCTGAGCACCCCCAGTTGGGTAAGTGGATGCAAGTCCGGCTAGGGCCGTCAGAACGACGAAGCCCCAGTAGATAATCATAGTTACTTTCGTTCAACGCAAGACTGTGGGCTCTTTCGTGAACAAGTGCGAAGAAACAAAGAGGAAGGAAAATGGGAAAAGTGAAAAAGTTAAGAATAGAAAGAAAGCATGTTTGCAACTACCTTCATGCCATATAATCTTCTACATATACCTATACCGTGGGTACCTGCCGCAGAGGGTCCTAGAGATGAAGGTCATGCTCAGCAGCTTTTGATATCAATGTGCTCGTGTATCCAACATCCACACAGCTAGAAAATTCATCGTCATACTGGGTAATCTCAATACCTGTTTGTTGAGCATAGTCAGTCGCGTTTGCGGCCTTGTGACGCCTTATTAAACGTCTTTTTAGCTGGTCCTTTGAGATTTATGGTAAGGCGGTAAAATTAGATTGCTTTGTGCAAGAGACTTTTCAATGTATAATCAGGGATGATCTTTAAGAGGGGTTGTGATCTGATATATCTTTAGGTCATTAGATTATTAGAGGGAAAGAAATACCCCCATAGCCCACGTGGTAACGGTTAGAAAATTCCTTCCAGACGGATGTGAACAACCTTGAAGCCTTGGGAGTCTACGAAATAAGCGATATTGCAATTAAAATGTCTAGGAATATCGAGATTAACCCCCTCTTAGGGCAATGGGTATAGTTGATATTGGCACGTGAGCTGTGCGGAGTCCGTGGGCAAAAGAGTCTGGATTGGAAATAACAATTTTTGATTGGTCCCAGACCCCAAGTTAAGCAGCGGGAGTCCCTCTCAAGGACCCACACAAACCCACACCGAAGCTGGTCCTTCTCCAATCAGCGTTGCACGTGCCCTGTCGCCAAGCACGTTGTCTTCTTGGGTCACTCGATAGGCTGTGGTCAGCAGGAGCTGATTACTTCTTTATCAAATATGCAAGGTTGTAAACATGGGAAGAGCTCATGACTGCACCGCGTGCTTTAACTGGCTAAGTTTCGTATCCCTCGTTTTCACTTAAACATTCCCAAGTCCCATTCAAGGGATACTGCAAGCCCTCCTTTCAATTCTCAATCCCTCCGATCTCACCTTATGTCAATCAGTTCCCTAACTGGCCTGATGTCGAGTTATATGCCCCTCTCCGATCGCAGTCCTTCTTCGGATGATGAAAAGGACCCTCGTTCTCAACTTCGACCGGATGTCGAGACGGGGAACAACACAAACCGTCGCGATGACTCGGACCGAAAGTCTTCCCGCTTCATTGACGGGCGCACCGTGTCCGATGCCATTATCGGTCTTTCCGACGGCATGACTGTGCCTTTCGCCCTAACTGCTGGACTGTCTGCATTGGGCGATACCAAAATCGTTGTTTTCGGTGGACTCGCAGAACTCATCGCAGGAGCTATATCGATGGGACTCGGTGGGTATCTGGGTGCCAAAAGCGAGGAGTATGTCTACTCAGATCATGAAACCTATCTCTTATGAAAATATGCTAGAAGAGGTTCTGGAGATTCGACAGCTGACATGTTTGTAGGGAGTCATACAAAGCTACACTAAAAGAGACTAAAACGCAGACTATGACGGATCCCGCCTCAGTGTCTGACACCATCTCCGACATTTTTGAGCCTTACGAGTTGCCCTTTGAACTGGTCGCACAACTCAAGAATCATCTGTCTGACTCTCCTATGCTTCCATCCTTTCTCATGAACTTCCACCACACTATGCCCGAACCCTCCGGCTCGAGAGCTATCATTTGTGCTTTTACAATTGCTCTGGGATACTTTATCGGTGGATTCATTCCTCTCATACCATACTTTTTCGTCGGACCCCATGAAGCCTTCATCGCCCTGCGGTGGTCCATTGCTACCATGGTCATTGCGCTGTTTATCTTCGGATATGTAAAAACATGCTTTGTCAGTGGCTGGCGTGGTCGTCGAAATATCCGCAAGGGTGTCATTGGCGGTATACAGATGGTACTGGTGGGTGGTATCGCCGCTGGTTCTGCAATGGGGCTGGTGAAGGGCTTCCAGATGCTGGCGGATGCTCACGAGAAGCATCAGCATGACTGAATGGCCACCAAAATCTCTTTACTGTTTCACGGCGTCGGCGCTGAGCGGCTTTTCACTTTTCTCGGTTTCCGGTGATAGATTGGATGGCGTTATGGTTTACTTCCTCTCGATTTGCAAACTGCCGAACTATGATCAAATGAGGACTTTGATTTGCTCACTTAATGGCTGTTTTCCTCTCAGTCAATGTTTCTATCAACAATCTAGCAGTCATTAATACTGAAATCTTGTTTCACCATGATATTCTTAGTTCTGACATCATCAAGAGCGTTGAACAAGGATGATCAACCACCAGAAGAGAGAGAATGAGCTTCATATGTGTCGCTGCTATGGTAAGGTGCCGAAAAGGTCAACTTGCCAAGCTCTTTTGCTGTGGTCATGCCTTTTGACAAGGCGTATTCATCAACGTGATACTCTTTGGCATCTTCTCCACAGACTTCTCCGAGCGCTTTGGCATTATCGGCCAACAGAGGAATAACAAGGCAGAATATATACTGCCACAGTGCCTATCAAGGTTTGATATTTTCTATGACTTGCGGACAAGTGCACTCAGACACCTAGCGTAATAACCTAAAACGATTCATTGTTTCAAATTAGAAAGCACGAGACCTCAATAAGCAACTTTGTAGCCCCTAGATATTTATGTAAATGACTATGTCACACATAAGAAAGAAAAACACTCTATGCCAGCCCTTCCTGCTTCCCATGAAGCAAATCCTTCTGCCTCTTATACCTCGCGTCTTTGCTGTTCACTATCGATTCTTTTTCTAGTACCTCCAGAAGATCAAGCACGTAGTCTTGGCAGTTCCAACCCCGAACTTCATTGTGAATGGTGACTTGGCTAGCGACAGTCTTAATGGAGTCGATCTCCGCGACGTTCACATCATATAGGGGAAGCAACTCCACCAATCTTTCTGATTGTCGAACATCTCTTGTTTCCAACTCATAGCGGAATCGACCATCCGAGCCCGCCACCTGGAGGAAAATTTTGTCTTTTTCTCGGGGTCCATCGATGAAAACACCCCAGTGTTTGTAAACACCCTCGCTGGCGCTAATGGCGACATAAATTGACACCGCCAACGACATTGGACGTAAAAGATGGGAAGTAGGTCTGTGAGCTTTTAGGAATTTGCATGAAAGCAGTATTCTCTGATAGTGCTTACTCTGATGCGTGGGTGGTTAGTCGCTATGAGGCTTTGAACTGAAGTGAAAAAAAGAGACAATGATTGCAGTCACAATGTATATATCAAATCTTTCCTTGGTCAGCAGACGCTCAAAATAAGCGCCAAACATGATGTATAAGCCTCTACGAAGTTTTTGGTGGTCGCAGCATATCCAGCATATCCAATGAATGACGAGAGGGGCGCTTAAAGTGCCAGCGCATGTAGCGAGCCTATACTTCGCATAGCACACGACTACGAGAATGTAGACTCTCTAGACCTTTGCAACTTCTTTTTATCTTGAGGAATGGTGTAAAATGCAAAATGTACTCCGTGCCATGTAATCATATTCCCCACTGACCGCATTGGGTTTGCGGGGATGTGGTATGATAGCCTGGTAGGATCGACGACGCAGAAACGTCGATCATGGTATTGCGTATCAAATGAGCACGGGCATGTCCAATGAAAAGCAACTATGAAAGGGCATTATAATATGTGTGAAATGTAAGCCTGAGCAATGCCAAGGGCTACGCAGTATGAGTTGCTGGCATCCGCATATTTTGACAACGAAGCAATAAGTTAGTGACCTCACCGAGTATTCATCTAGAATTAGCATGATAGGGATATTGTGCATTCTTGGCCTGCACCTAAATCGACAAGGCTCAGTAGCAAGGCGAGCAAAACTTGAAACTTCCAAGGTAACAATATTACAGCTTGACTTCATATCTGTGGCGCAGCTCTACACATCAGCCTTGCATCACTTCTAAGCTTAAGAACCCACTCTAGGCAGCCGCCCCCAAATACGAATACGAACGTGCGCAGTTGGAAAGATGAATACATATGTTGTACGGAGTAGTCAACAATAATATTGTAATAACAAGCCTCAGGATACCTACAATTTACAGAGTAACAAATGCCTATATTAAAATGTCTAGGGAGCTTTGACGCTGAATTGGAGATGAAGTCAAGGTGTGATTGGCTGCGGTCGCGCGACACTTGGATCCTGAAACGCATGTGTACCGGATTCGAGGGGAAAGTATATTCAACCATAGCTGTGCCGTCTTTGGATGAGCAATTTCTTTTTATGGCAGAGATGTTGTACACTGGTTGTTGTCTAAATCAGGAGGCTGGTATCCCCTCGAGGGGTTATCCATTATCCCCTGAGAGTAGGGCATTATTATGTGATAGGCCCATCCTCATATACGCGCTGGGCCCATGTCAAATTGCCCTACGGAGTAATAGTGTCAGACTTGGTCAAACATGGACTCTCGAGTGTTGATCTTGTATGTGGCTCAGCCGCGTAACTGAGGCTGAGTCTCCTTGATGCCAATGCATACTACTACAACATACAGAGTACGGAGTACGGATCACGGAGTATAGCATCGACGGAGTAGACGTTGGGCCGTTGCCGATAGCTTTTAATATGAGGTAGCTAGTGCTGTTTTGAATCACCAGGACGACAGTTGAGCTGATGTTACAAGCCGTGCATAAGCGAAATTAAATAGTTCTGATGGGGTTTAATACCGGAACTGAACGATGGGGGCAAAGGGAAAGCAGCCAATCAGACTCCGACGATGGATCTTATATGGAAATTTTGCGAAAATTTGCGTCCCAGCGGTAATTTTGAAACCCCGGGACCATATTAAGCATATGTACGGAGTACTAAGTACTACATATTTAATTTAATTGAAGATGGCAAAGTCGATAGGTCATAGCGGTCGATATTGCTATATTAATATACAATATATATATATGGAGTATACGGAGTATATAATATTAGTTATACGAACTGTGGACAAAGATGTTCTCGGGAGTCCCGGAGGCATCTGCATAAAAAGGCTAACATGTCGGAGCATTGGCATAACAAAGTCCGAGATATGCCCAGAAATGTGTGATCTCCGTTGCTTCCGTGCCTTCCGAGTCAAATTCGCAGACCGGATATCCAGGTATTGTTTAATACTGCCGAGGGCTCCGGTCAGAATTGCAATAGAAATGAGATGGATAGGTAGAAATAGTTATATCAAATAATATGTACTCTGTACTCCGTATCTGAAAAAGGAAAAAGACAAAAAGACAAAAAGACAAAACGTGCTACTAAACCAAAACCGACCAGTGACGCCATAGACACATAAAGCAGCTCCAAATAATTAACGGGGTACTACTCCGTACAGATGTAATCATACCGGGAAAAATTACAGCTAAAACTTAGATATTGGTAAATACGAATACGCCAATTTTCAAGTTCCCATGGGTGAATTCCAGCTCTTTTCTTCCCCTTCCTCCGTCTCTCTTCTTTAATTCCTTAATATCTCCGTTTCAGGGCTTTAAGTGGTCTCCTTGGTTTTCTCGAGTTCTGTTTATCTTGGGTTTCATCGGTTGCGCCCTTTTCTCCTTGCATCCCGACCCTTGTCAACGTGACCTCCTGAGTTCCCTGGGACTCACGCCCCTCGGCCTTATCCTTCGCCTTCCTATCGGCCCAACTCAACCTTTCATGAGCCTCTCTTCTGGCCAACGATAAACCTCTTTTCCGTTACGCGACCTCCTTCCGTCTCGTCCCGCGGAATTCCTTGAAGTCTCCACCCCTATTCCCAAGTGATCCGGAATCTCCTGGAGGAGAGCCGCTGCGAATATGAGCGCCTCTTATTCGTCATGGAAAGATCGCACGCAGAATCAGCTCGGAAAGCTTCAGATCCAAGTGCCATGGCGCTCATTCCAGCTCCTGGTGCCACATCGCATGCGTCGCAAGCTTCGGTCCAAACTCCGCAGCCGCCTCTCGCCCACCTCATCCATATCGAGGTTGCAAACTTCCTTCTCGCCTGTGGACACCCTCAGATCCTTACAGTCCCACCGATGGACGTTGTATGACTTCCAATACTTGTTGCTCCTCATCATCGGCATTTTCTCCTTGACAATTATCCAGTCTCCTGGTCCACTGGGGAAGACAGCGATCGCCACTGGGCTTTTGTGCTCCCTCCTCATGCCAATCACCCGGCAATTCTTCTTACCTTTCCTCCCAGTTGCTGGATGGCTTATCTTCTTCTATGGATGCCAGTAAGTTTTGATTTCTGTTGGGTTTCTTGCAGATGCGCCTGCCATGGCCTTGTGTGGCATGATCAGGATGTGCGGGGATCTGGACATTGCTAACATGTGTTTCTCTAGGTTTGTTCCAAGCGATTGGCGACCTGCAATTTGGGTCCGAGTGTTGCCAGCCATGGAAAATATCTTGTACGGTGCCAACATCAGCAACATTCTATCCGCCCACCAAAATGTGGTGCTTGACATTCTGGCATGGATCCCTTACGGACTCTGCCATTACGGAGCGCCATTCGTCGTTTCCCTGATCCTTTTCTTCTTCGGTCCCCCGGGAACCACTCCTCTGTACGCCCGGACTCTCGGATACATCAGCATGATCGCCGTCTTCATCCAGTTGGCTTTCCCCTGCTCGCCACCCTGGTATGAAAATCTGTATGGTTTAGCACCAGCCGACTACTCTATGCAGGGAAACCCAGCTGGTCTTGCTCGCATTGACAAGCTGCTGGGCATTGATCTCTACACGTCGGGCTTCAAGCAGTCCCCTGTTGTTTTCGGTGCATTCCCCTCGCTCCATGCTGCCGACTCCACCCTGGCAGCATTGTTCATGAGCCATGTCTTCCCGCGGTTGAAGCCCCTCTGGGTTACCTACACTCTGTGGATGTGGTGGGCTACCATGTATCTTTCTCACCACTACGCTGTTGATCTGGTCTGCGGTGGTCTACTAGCCACAGTTGCCTTCTATTTTGCCAAGACCCGGTTCCTGCCCCGAGTGCAGGCCGAAAAGATGTTCCGCTGGGATTACGACTACGTCGAGATCGGTGACTCTTCTCACGACCACGGGTATGATCTTGCTAGCTTAGATGGAGATCTCAACTTGGATAGCGACGAGTGGACCGTGGGATCTTCTTCGTCCGTTTCATCGGGCTCTCTGAGCCCGGTGGACGATCATTACACCTGGGAAAGCGAAACTCTCACCTCGAATCACGACATCGAGGCGGGACGGTAATCCTCGAGCCTCACTTGCACATGTCGCTCGGCGAAATCCATTCTTGCATCTTCTACTTTTGAATCGGCGTTATGTTTGACGACAATGTTTGGGAACATTATCCGCATCGAGCAATCTTCAACACCCTAAGGTTTTTAATAAAACCTCCAGTTCGCGCGGTACTCCCGCCTTGAGCTGAAGGTACTCTTCACCTTCTGGCTGTACATGCCTCGTCACCTCACTTTGGGCTGGCAACTCCGTCTATAATATTAATACCGGCGGCGGAAGGGATCGGGCCTTGTTCACCTGCCTGCATTTGCCAATCCCCCGCACCGCCACCGTTGGCAACCTTCGCTTGTACACATTCTCGGACGCCTTCGGGCGATCCTCTTTATTTTTCTGACCCATGTCATTCGCTACGACTTTATGAACTGGGCGAGCCACATTTGTTTTTTTTGCTTTCGGCTCGTCCAGATGAACAAATATTTTTACCATTCGTGTCGCTCGCTCATCATAGGCGCCTGGGAACTTCAACCTGGTTTTTTTGGGAGAGATGAAAAGTTTCGGCGCTTTTTGCTGCACTACCACTCGCTGTGCACTAGAAGGATTTTTGAATATTGGCTGTTTTACGACATTTTGCATCGGCACATGAAAGGGGGGTTTTCAAAAAGATCGTCTCGGTCTACCCTCTGTTTGTGTCTACTTCGCCTGGCAGGTGCTTGACGGCGTCGATATCGTGTGGATTCTTTCCGTGTGGATTCAACACGCAAAGGTCCGAGGAAACGAAAGGGGGACACTGAACGCTGGGGCTCTTGTTTCCAGAGCTCGAGTGACCATGGCAGCTAGGGTGAACGGGGTTTTGGTACTTTTGACGGAGGCCATTTCCCCACCCTCGAGCTTCGCCCATTCTCTTCGCTTCTAGCTATCAAAGTTGAAGCTGATCCGATAACCTAATGTATCTACGACTCCCGTGACACCCTCTCGATTACCCGAGTTGGGTCATGTGCATGCCTCTTATCATTACTTTTGGGGGTGGGATCCTGTTGGGTATTGCTAGCATTATTTTTAATCACTAGCGTATGAATGAATCATTGTACATTATTTACATTTCTGGGTTTTGTCATTGTACATAATAAACGAGTTTTCCAGTATACAGCATTCAACTTAGCACATGGCAGCTATTCGAATCTTCAACCCCCCGCCTCTCCCATCGGTTCAGCGTGAAGAGAAATGGCAACCCCGCCAGTGTGATAAGGACTATCCACACAGCGGACGGGACATGTTATGGTCCTTGCTTCTCACATGTGCCAAGAGTTCAGCTCCGTCGATCACACGGGATCAGTTGCTAGTAGCTTGCATAAGTCACTAGTCTCCTATAGTATGTAGCACTATGTAATTTTAGGGGTAAGAACCTGTATCCGCGCCTATCCGTGATACAAGAGGTGGCTGGAATTCATGTACGGACTTGGTGGCATGTTTTGTTTTAAGTATTCCAGTATTATAAGCCATGATTGAATAATACGTGCTGCACACTCCGTAAAAAAGGAGTATAATGAGTTCATATAAGGGTCTGTCATAACGAAATGTACAAAAATTTTAGGTCATAAGCAAAAAACCCCATCTGTCTAGAAAAAACCCCAGATATCTAAAAAGACGTATGTGTGTGTGTGTGTATCAAAACGCGAGCCAAGTAAAAGAACCAAATATTCAGAACAGTCATAAGGGACCTCATTCGATCTATTCTTCGTCAAAGATTTGTACACGATCCGCATACTCGCGGATTTTGGAAACAAAGGTCTCTTCGATTAAATCGCCTTTGCCGCCAGCGACACGAAGAAGAAGGTCATTGAGTGAGGCACGGCCTAGTATATCCACATGGTCACCTATGTGAAGTTAGTCGCCTGTCATGTATCGTAGGAAAGAGTAGGTAAGGGAGCAAAGAACATACCAGTGTTGGGACCACCACGGGGCGAGAAGCGATCAGGCTCATGGGGCATCTCAAAGACCTTGATCTTTGTGCCAGCTGGGTTATAACGCTTCATGCGCCAGCCTTTGGCGCACATGTAGCCCGTGCTGAGCAGGTTCACGGTGCCGTCGCCCTCGCCCATTAAAACGCCGTGGTCGACGCCCTCGTTGTTCGTGATGGTGGTGTCCATGCTGACCTTGAGGTTGACCAGTGGGTCGGGCTCTTCCTGGTAGAAGTAGCTGCGCTCTGTGGGTTTGCCCACGCCATAGAAGCAATATATCTTCATGTCTGGGGCGAGGGGCAGGCGCGACTCCAGAGGGTTGAGCCAGGTGCGCGGGTCCTTCTCGTTGGCTTCGACCTCGCGTTTTGTGTGCGCGACACCGTGAGAGTAGCTATTCAGAACCTGGTTCCGGTACCAATCCTCGCTCTGGTCCATGAGGTACTGAAGACTCTCTGGCGTAGTGAGATTGTGTTGGGTCAAGGATGAGTTGGTCTCGTGGAAGCGGAGCAGGTTGCCAAAGGTCAATTGCTGACCTGGTTGGTCATCCGGTGCCCAGGTCGAGTTTCCCCATACGGCCTCTCCACCCTTTGGTAGCATGCTGGAGATACCGGGCATCGCGCGAAAGATCTCCGCGCGCTCCCCTTTCGATAGGAATTTCTCCAATCCATACACGGCAAAAGCGTTCAGTTGCGCTGTATCCCGCATTTCTCCGGACAGAACGGCAGTCAATCCCTTGACGGCGCCCAGCATGCAACCGCTGATGTTGACCCACGAGTCGATATGTTTGTTAACCCAGTCTTTGCCGCCATTTCCGTGTTCCTCGCTCTCCACCCACTTGAAGAAATACAACACCACCTGAGATCCCATGCTGTGCGATGCCAATGTGATCTTCTCACCCTGTACCTGCACCGCGGTCTCGATATAGGATTTGAGTCGAGTAAAATATTTATCACGAACTTCGAGGTTCAGATATGAGAGTCGCCAGTCGTACGCAGCCGTGAACGCATTGGTCGGGTCATAGCCAATGGTAGCCAGATTCTCCAGGATCTTATTCCATATCCAATACCCTGTGATAAAGAAATCCGTGGCATCGAATCCTTGCGCCGCACGGAGCTTAATGCCAGGCGGGTCGAGGCCGGTATCCCGATCGAGCATGACATGGTTCTTCCACTCAGCCTTATCCATGACTAAAGCTCTCATCATGCTCCAGCTGCCCCATAATCGTCGACGGAAGTATTGTCGCGAACTTTCCCCCGTGCCCCAGCTCTCTAAGCCAGTCGAGATGACTCCGGGGATCATCACGACGGGATGTTTAGCTTCTATACCCATGGCGCGAAGTTGTAGCCCAACGGCAAACGAATCATAACTGACGGTATCGCGTTCGTGTTGCTATATCCCCGTTGGAAGTTAGTTAAATGGTAACCAGTAGTACAGATAAGAGCACTCCCTTAAAAAGCACATACCGAGAATTCTTTCACGTCACTCACAATTCCTTGTGGAATAGCCTCAATCCATGAGTCGAGATTCAGGTCCATGAGCGAATCCAGGCTTATGACCTCCTGCTGGTTTGCGAAGAACAAGGCGATAAAGATGCCGAAGATCCCGCCCAGCATGAAGATGAACCCATTGCGACGTTTACTCCGGGGCTTGATAACAAGCTGCGTGACTTTTGTATCAACGAACTCCGCATGAAGCTGTTCTTTCTCGGGTTTTGTACCGCTAGCTGTCTTAGAGGGCGGGACCTCGTCCTTGCCCGTTCGGCGGCGGAGCATAGCGACCAACCGCGAGGGAGGTAGAAGAAGGAGAGGACCTGATCGATCTCCCTAAAATATTGATACAAAGAACAAAACCAACAATTTTGAAGAAAAAGAAAGAAACAAGAAAGTGAAGGGGATAAGAAAACACGGAAGTGCATAAAGTCCGCGAACGGGCGGATCGGAATCACATGGCAGAGAGTAACTTTCCCTCCGCGACACATCCCCTGCCCCTCCGTCACCTCCAATTCATCAGCCCACTTCAATGACATCGCTGTGATGAGCAATGCTCCAGATCTTCGCTACGTGCGATATGAAAACTCGCGCGAAAATGAGTATGTCGCCGCAATGCGCCAGCTGATCTCCAAAGATCTGTCTGAACCTTACAGCATCTACGTCTACCGCTACTTCCTATACCAATGGGGTGACCTGTGCTTCCTCGCGATGGACGATAAGGACGAGATGGTTGGGGTCGTGGTATCGAAGCTAGAGCCACACCGTGGAGGCCCACTAAGAGGATATATCGCCATGCTGGCCGTGCGCGAAGAGTACCGCGGGCGGGGAATTGCAACCAAGCTAGTGCGCATGGCCATCGATGCTATGATTGAGCGAGATGCAGATGAGGTATGTCTATACGGCGGAGCTAGCTGTTGGACCCCAAATTGGGAGGTCTCGAGGGTATAGTGGCTGACTTGTACGTGTTTGGGCAGATCGTCCTCGAAACCGAAATCACCAATACCGGCGCAATGAAACTGTACGAGCGGCTGGGCTTCCTTCGTAGCAAACAGCTCCACCGATACTATTTGAATGGCAACTCGGCCTACCGACTTGTGCTCTATCTCAAAGAAGGTGTGGGTGCGATTCGGACGGCACTTGTTGATCCCTATGGTCTTCCACCACCAGTACCTGGTCTACCTGACGCGTGTGGGGGACATTCCCATGCGAACATGGGGTCATTGATTTGATTTTTTTTGGTTGTTAGCAGCATTTTGAAGTTTCCTCGCTACTCTGTCAAGCTGTGCTGACATGACATGTCATGATAATTTATGGGAACTGACCAGAATAGTTATACTTCACAGGAGCTGGCGTCCTTGTGGAACTGTATTGTATAGAAAGAATTTCCTGAGAAGTTTGCCAAATAACTAATCTGCTCTGATCGAGGATATGTCATGGCCTTGTAGCGCATCTTATAGTTGTCTTTGTAGATGTCTTTTTGGATATCCATGGAGGCTCTCCCCTTATTAGCGTTATAGCTAGACGAAGGCACTAAATAATGTGTCCATTCTATAAATATCATGCCATATCATATTGTAAACAAATATTATTTAGCCTGATTCTAACTCAGATATAAAAGATTTGCTTTGCTAGCTTAAGCCATACCGCTGCCTTAGTATTGTGACCATTTTGTGATCTCTCTCCGAATATCTTCATCGGCGCATTGTAAAGCAGTTCGGTTCCTGACATCTTTGACATTAAGTTCCGCTCCTTCCCCAAGAAGATAGTGAATGACATCGACTTTGCGAAGGAACACTGCCTTGTGAAGAGGAGTTTCTCCCATAAAGAGATACATGTCCCAAGAAGGCTGGTGATCTCGATACATGATACCGTTAATCGGAGCGCCCTGGGCAATGAGAAGCTTCAGGACCTCTACTGCGTCCGACTCGCGAGCAACTGCGTGGTGCAAAACCTGTCCTTTTGTAACATCGCCCCCACGATTGAGCAGAAGATTGACGATTGGCAAAGAGGCATGTTCAATAGCGTAGGAGAGTGGTGTAAAATCAATATTACATCGACGGTTAGGATCGGCTCCGTGATCAAGAAGCCAGGTCGTCATCTCAAGATCGTCTAACGCATCACTATAAACATCAGGCGTCACAAGGAGGTAACTTTGGAAATTGACAGCTTGACTCACCTAAGAATCGGGGGATGCATTGCGCCCATCGGCTGGTTGATATCCCACCCATTTTCTAGAAGGCTTTCCAGAATATCTTTTGCATTTTCTTTCGCGTTAATGGCCTCAGAGATATATATTGGAAATAAAGGCACTTCATGGCGGAGCAACTCTTTCACAAAACAGGTTCTTCCCAGCTTGATGGCTTGGGTCATAACCCCTGACAGATCGACTATGTTGTTATCATGTAAGATACTGGCAATAGAGCTGCTATTTAGAGTCCTTGTAAAACTTTCAATGTCGCCTTGGATACAAAACTGCCCCAACTCTTGCAGTGCTTGGATAGGCGCATGTGATGGGACTGGTGGAGGTGTGATACTGGCTTGAGGGTAGGTTTCACTGGCAGAATATGCGATCATGATAGTCTTGGTGTATTATTCACAATGGGTAAAAGCTATTAGAACAATCAATTGGGGGGAAAGAAAGTCGATGTCGACTATATATGCACACTACACCGCTATAATGACTATACGGAGCAGCACAAGCTAAAATCAAAACATCATTCGAAAGAGAAATAAGTCTCAAGTCACATTTCCACTTGCATTTGCATCATAAACCTCGGATCTACATGTAGCCACATCTTTCGAGTCGGGAATCCCGGTGGAGTTACGGAGATCTGATTGTGGAAATGTGGATCCCGTGTCTTTCTTATATATAGTTAAGATGCCGAGGTCCCCCGTGCATTTTTATATTTCGAAATTTCTCACTCCCCATGGATCCAACAGCACTCAGACACCTCCAAGGCCCATCTGGTATAATAAAGGCAAACAAACAAGGTCGCCGACCCGGGAAAATAGCCTGTACGGCCTGCCACGCCCGAAAAAAGCGATGTGACATCTCTCCGCCATACCACCAGTGCACGCACTGTCGCAAAGAAGACCAATGCTGCATTCCGCGAGACTCAATTGACAGGTATGCAAAACGAAGAAAGACAGATACTAGCAAGACTTACAAAACTGTTGGAAGACCTACCCGGCGACGAATGCCTAGTCGCAATCACAACGGCCAGAAAGCTAGTCATAACCACGAAAACCGATTCCATGTCAACGGCTTTCTGCCAAAGGGAATCGATCACGAAATACCTCGTTGGAGTGCAGTGTATTCTTCTTACACGGAAATGTGCCGCCTACTACCTCCTCTCACTTCTACCTCCCCGTCTCCTTCGCTTGAGATGGAAGAGGACATTGCACATGTGCAAACTACACCAATTGAGAGAAATCAGGATGTGTCTTCGTCAGGGTTGGGGTCTAAGTCTGGTGTCTTATATAGGGATTGTGCGGAGCCGACTTCTTCTTCTATAAAGGGGATCAGCATACCTGCTTCTCGGTCTCTGTCTCGGTCTTTGTCCCCGGCGCCTGTAAATGAAAGGGTTGGGTTGGAGAAGGCGTTAGCTCGCGAAGTTGAGATGCATGGGAACCTCGCCTCGGCGAGGGAAGAGAGAGTTCCAAGTGGTGGACACTCCGGTTCTGCCTATGATGTGTTTATGAATGATCTCGATGCGTTGCTTAGATTTTGATGGTGCTGATATACAAAGAGGAAATGTATTCGCTCACGATTAGATGAAGTATATATTTAGAAAATGTTATTCTAGACATTGCAGCTCTATGATTTTATATTCTGAGATAATGTACAAGTATAAGATACAAGGTGACGGGCAAGTAGGCAGACTAGAGTACATAAAACAAACACCAGCCAAAACAAGCCCGCCAGATGGGATATTCATGCAACACGCTAGCGTCAAAAAGGAAGTAGAAGGATCGAAGAATGTGCGAATGATGCAAAAGGGGGGAAGGGGGAGAGATTATTGGGCTTTGTCTTGGACTCGGTCTTTGTCTTTGCGGACAATGGGGACTTGAATGGCGTTTTGCATCTTCCAAGTGAGAGGCCGCGGTACACCGCGCCATTCATTATCCACGATAGACGCTGCATCCAGCATGATCGGTGAAGGATGCCGGGGAACATAGCGGGTTGCACCAAGGATAAGGTCACGCTTGATGAGGGCATTGGCAAGGCGGATTTGGAGATTACGTTGTTCCCCCCTGGGCTTCCATCCGATGAGGTAGAGAATAGGATTGTGACGGAACTCGGAGGGGATATCATCCAGAATTGAGTCTGGAAGCCTGTAGCTTTCATGGTGTAGGTCGATACCGATAATGACCTTGCCAGCATCAGAACTCCACAAATCTTTGTTGAGTTTCGTGGGTTTACCAAAAGATGCGTTGCGACATAAGGAAGTCAAGACAGCCTGTTTCATCTTGTAGGTCACGCTTCTTTTCATGCAAGAATACCGCCATATAACCAGGCAGATATTGTACTGGCGGTGCCTGAATGCGGCCAAAAACAGATCCTCCCAATTTTGCGAGGTTACCTCGAACAAAGGATGCTCGAAAAATCGGAGGGTATACTGCAAAGCGACGTGGATATTCGCGCCCAGCGCTTGCACAATATGGCTGAGCGGATAACTGTCAACAGTGAGGTTGTTATCGATGCAGATTTCCATGAGCCGGTCTATGGAATCAAAATTCTTTAATCGAGCGAGCACACTGAACATCTGGCCAACCACCGAAGGGCTGAACCAATTGGCGCCCCATGTATTGGTCATGAGGCCAATGAAGGAGTCTATATCTTTTCCACTGTCCAAATGCACTAAAAGCGAATCTTGAATTGTCTCCTGGAGCGCGCTGTGGATGGTGGAAAGGTTGGACATTTGACCACGCTGGACCATATGTTCAATGAGTTGGGCTTTTTCGCTGGGGTCAACCAGGGCGCTGAGCAATGCAAGCCATGTTTCTGGGTTTGGACGCATGTGTAATCGAGGCATCGTCCGCAGGAAGTGACGGAAGACACTGACATCCTGACGTCGCGCAGCAGCCCGCAACAGGATATTATATGTATCAGTGGTAGCCACATGCTCTGTGCATGAACACAAGGCTCGGGCAGTATCAAGGAACTCATGTCGACAAAGGAATTCCAGTGCGTTATTTAAGGCCGCAGTCGAGATGTAATTGGAGTATGTTTCTTCCATGAATAGCGCCTTCAGATGTAGTTTAATCCTGATCACATGCGGAAGCTTTGATAGAGACATGGCCTTCTCATCGAGCGTCGGTTGCCTCGAAGATGTGACATCCTCGACGTGCTCGTTGAACTCCTTCACGGTGGCGATAACCGGACGAGGTAGCAGGATCTCGTCCAAATTCGAGCTGCTATCCGACGTTTCACCGAAATGCCAATTTCCACGAATCAACGGTACAGGGAGGTTCGAACGCTGCATCGCGCCCCGAGAAACGCACATTGGAACCGGTGGTTTGTGGATATCAACAAGGGGATCTCCCATAGCTTGCAGGTTCTGTGCGCGGGTAAAATGCCCTTCCACCAGCGCCATGATATGGTCCGTGGCACTCAGAACGACTCGACGGAGTAGTCCCTTGCTCTGACTTGCAGGAAGGATGTGCACACGACATCCATTATGGAGCGGGACGTACCAAATATTCTCCTTCAAGGTATAACGAGTCACACCAGAAAATAGGGCGAGGGTCTCCTCTGGTACAAGTATCTCCTTCTTGTTCCAACTCTTCTTTGGGTTCTTCCGGATATCGCGGTGCACTTGGTCCAGAATATCCTTAGTGTCAAACCAAGCATTGTCGAAGAGCTTTGCTGAACGAGATTGGTATTTTTTCTTCATATGTTCGCGAAACCGCAACTTCTTCCGATCTCGAATCGATGTATTTCGTAAGAAAAGTTGTCTTTGCGTAGGAGACGAAGGTTTGGCGTTCAGGGGTTTGTTGTGCAGCCGACCTTTCTGTATTCTTTTCGCTCTCGTCAATGCGAAGCCACGTAGTGGTTGCGAAGAAGTGGCGTCTTCGGCATCTGCAAGTGAATTGACAGATTGCTTCTGACCTGTGGAGAGCCGACTTCCGCCACTTTCTTTCATACCATCGGGACCAGTTTCCTCGCCCTCCCCTAGTTTAGAATTCTCTCCAACTACCACAGGGGACGATTGCAGATTTGAATCATCGGAAGGCCGGGAGAAAGACGCAGAGGAGATCCATTGGCGCGAGCGTCGGGAAAGCGAAGGAGAGGGGCGGACTGCTGCGCGAAGTTGGGCACCGGAAGTATGACCTACCCCAGCTGGAGCATCAATCGGCTTCAGGGAAGATATCCGTCGACGTTGCAAAGCAGGCGCAGCCCAGCGGGGATAGAGAAACAGAAGAGGCTCATCGGGGCCAGTCGCGACAGTGTCCAAGACGGCAGATAGACGCCTCCTTAGACACGGGCAGCCACGCAAGAGCATAAGGGACGATGCTCTAATGGCACCGGAGACATGAATGGAAAAGAGACAAGAATTGGGCGCGTTGCTGTTTGAGGTGTTTTTCGATGGGCCTTTTTGCCCCGAAAATTGCTGGCCGCCGAACGGGTAGGCGGTGGCCGGAGCTTGGCTCTGCCGGATGAGCTGCTATACTTCGCTATATTCTCCCATATTCTCCCAATAATAATATCTATTTCACCTACATAGGGTAGTTTTAATACATTAATAAATGTGACCTTCATGGTCAATCTCAGCAGCCTTGGGAATACCCCTGAAAATCCGTCTCATCGACCTCGCACGCTCCTCCAAGACCGGTCGCTTAGCCATTAATGTGTCATGCTTGGCCACCGGAGTCAAGTCTAATAATTCCGTTCCCGACTCTCCATGATCACCTTTAAAGACATCCGGTCCGGTAACATGATTCTTGCAAGATTCTGCGGCACGAGTGAGGTTGTCTTTCTTGCGTTGGACTGCATCGGCGTCTTTATCAGAATCCGTGGGAGTTTTCGACAGCTCACGAATGACACCGGAAAGATATGTCACAAACTGCCAGCGGGAGGTTTGGAATAGGAACATGGGCATTATGTCTGGTATCTGGTATCCGCCAAAATAGAGTTAGCCCGGTCTTATCATATAGATTAGGGGGAAACGTGAGCTCACCTTGTCGTTCAGATAATAGAGCTCCTCGCCTCCTTCCTCAATAAATTTCTTTAGTGCATCAATCTTCTCTCGATCAATGGAAGCTAATTTCAAAGCATGCATCAAACTGGGTATATCCCCGATCTCATCGACATGTGGCTCCTCATCAACCGTCATGCTCGCATGATTCAAGAACCCAGATTCCACCCGGGACAGCCCCGCAGTGCTCTGCTCCCGACTTCTGGGCTTGGAAGAATGAATGGTAAAATAGTCCTCAGTAAGCATATGGGACTTCTCAAAGTTGGAGCGACCAAAGTTCCGCCGCGCATGGGCCTTGGTCCGTAGTCTCACCCACCGTCTCCTGCGAACGAAAGAATGAAACCACGGCTGGGTACCATGCCACGCAGACGAGGAAAATGAAAAAGAGTACTGCCAGCCTTGCTCGTCGGTATCACCAGACATGTCAACATACCAAGTCTTCCACGTCCATTCCCAGCTCGGATCAGGTAGCTGGGCATTCGTGATATCAACAGGACTGGCTCTGCGGTCCTGGGTCATCCAGGGACTGGGATCAAAGTTCAACAGCGAGCTGTGCGAGTAACGTGGGACACCAAAAACGAACCAGCCCCGCTGGTTCTCATAGAGAATGTCCATTTCCGAGCGCGATTTACTGTCCTCGCGGTTGTTGATTTGCTCCCCTGTTCCGTTCACCTGGCCGCTGCTGCTGCCATTAATAGTTGAGACTCGCGATGGCGCAAACTCAGCTGTCTCGACATCTCTGCCTCCGCTGCCTTCTCCGGCGGAGCTTGCTGAGATTGAGCCTCCTCGCACCTGAGACGATTCTCGGCTGAGCGAGTCGTTTGTGTCGGGCGCGATACCGAGTCTTTCGGGTTGCCACTTTGCGTATTTCCGCTTTGTGAGCTGGCTTTGGACGGATGCACGGCTCAGGTGCTTCGTTAGGTTGCCTTGCTGATTGAGGGTGGATGTGCGCCGTGTAGCTCCTTCGCCGGTAGATTGTTGTGGGACGGTATTATCCACGAGGGAAATGGATGGTGAGTTCTCCATGGCTTGTATTTGGGTATATAAAGGAATGTTTCAGATAGTGTTGAAGAATCTTAATGGGCTCCTCGAGCCCTGTAGAATATTACTGAGTATGCTTCACTCGCATTGTCTCAAGGGGTCGTATCGCAGTAGAAGGAGGGACAGAGGGATATAAGATAGAAATGTAGAGCTGTAGAATACCCTAACAAAAGAAATAGACATAAGAAATCAAGAAACAATAGAGAGCGAAAAGAGTTAAAAAAAACAACCTTTTGGAAATCAAGTCGATGCAACATCGATGACATCGTTTGCGGGGATCAACGCCAAGGCCATTTCTCCTGCAAATCGCGGGAAAAGGAAAAAACATCAACAACCACAATAGCCCGCCATGGCAGCACCACACTATCGAAAAGTCGAGCTTCAATCTCCAGCAGACTTCACCTACCTCTATGCCAACACAGTCGCGCTATCGCGCCGAAAACTCGACCTCTACTTCCCCCCTTCCGCAACAGACAATGACACCCCCGATCCGATGCGCGAACGCGTCCGGGAGCTAATCGACGAGGTGAGACTAGCACAACATGCACATCTACATACCTCCAGAGTCTAACCTCAAACAGTACATTAATAAAACCTTCGAATCAGCCTCAAGCTCAATCAGCATCAACGGCATAGACTCCACCTCACCACAATTCCCATTCCCGGCAGCATTCACCGCGCCAACAGAACAAGTCGAGTACGAAGCATTCGATACAGATCTTGCGTCGCGTGTGACGTCGCTGTACGCGCAGCTGGAATCGCTCAATACGACTGTTGCACAGCAGAGACGGGATGCGCCGAGGCGTGCGGCGAAGGAATATGCCGCGCAGTTGAGAAAGATGATTGAAGAGGAGGAAGAGGAGTATGAAAATGAGGATGAGATTGAAAATGGAGGGAAAGACGCCGATAATGATACGGAAATGGGCGAATCTGCGGATATGCAACCCCGATCCAATAATGAAAACAAGAACACAATACCCGGCCAAGAGACGGATGGTATGGATGTTGATTCTACTCCGAATGGAACTGGTTCGGCGCGCTCACGGCGCCCCCGTGGAAATCACGACCCAGCGTGGACATTGCAGGTTGCGCTTGGGACAGAGGAGGAGCAGGAGCGGTGGAAGAGTGGAGATATTGCGAGTGTCTATGAGGATGCTTTACGGATGCTGCAGCGGCTGCAGGGCGAGGCCAATACCAATACGGAGGCTGGTGTGGAGGGCAATGCGTTGGCAACAACGGTGGGCAAGGCTGAAAGAGCAGGCCGTGCTGCTGAAGTGGTGGAGAATATGAACAAGTGAAGGGTTTGAGGACTTGGGGGTTGATTGACTAGCGTTATCTTCTCTGCTGTGTTATATTTTTTTTTGTTTGGGTGCTATTGTAATGTTGGGGGCGTTTCGGGGCCCTGGGCTTGTCCTGGGGATCATGATACCATGTCTTGTTTATTCTTGATGGCTCTATTGAGTCAAGATCCTATCATCTTTCATTTCTTTAGACTGAACTATGTCTGCTATCTCTATAGCAAAGGCAAATATTGTTACTTTTCTACTCTTGCTCCTTCTCTTACTGCTACTCACACATAGTGCAATATAAGCAACATAGACCCAACTTATATCCTAGACATGACAGCTACTATTTCAATATGTGCTTCTTCGTGTATACACATTACCAACAAACAACCAAGCTAAACACCAACTTCACACCAACACGCTTTTAAATTTCATCACGTCCTGTCCCTTCTATACTGAGAGCAGTGGCAGCACACGCTGCTTATCTTGATAGGCAAAAGCAAAAACAGAAGCAAGCTCTCCATGATATCTAGATCGGAACAAAAAAGCAAAACCGCAAATAGCGAATGTAGAGTAAGGAATCCACAGGTTGTGGATGGATCGGCGAAGAGGTGTTGAAACTACCGGAGGAGGAAGATTCCGGTATGCCTGGGCGGATTGGGACTATGTTGGGAGTTATCGGACCCCCAGGTAATATTTTTTGAAGTTTTCGGGTTGATCGGGGTTGAAAAGAGTCCTCCAACATCCCTATCTGGGTGTCTGTTTTTCAGTCGCCATATAACAGGAGATCGTCGATCAGCTTGTTGGAGCCCCAACACAAAAGACAAGGAAAAGTTCTCAGCAAGCTTAAGCGCTAGTCTGAGCAACCTCCTGACCCTCAACATCCTTCTTCTCCTCATTCTGAACAACAGGCTCAGCAGCCGCCTTAGGGGCCTCCTCCTTGGGGGTAGCCCACTTAGCGGGACGAGCCCACTCAGACTCCTGCCAAGGGCCCATATCGGAGAGCTCACAGCCACCGGCACATTTGCAAGAGCCGCCGAATTCAACGGGCAAGTTCTCAGCGGGGACCTGGGCCAGAAGCTCCTTCTGGTATCCGCTACCGAGGACATGGATCTTGCTGACGGTAACGGGGTCAAGGAAGCCCTTGATGGCACCGAAGACGGTGCTGAAGCCCCACGGCGCGTTGATCAGGTAAAGCTTGCCCAGACGCTCGGGGTAGTGGTTCTGCGAGATTTCTGAGGCCCGGCTGACGTATCCGTAGACGGATGGCACACTGGTGATGCCGACGCCCTTCAGGTCCATGACAGTGCAGCAGGTCTCGAGCAGCTTGCCGGCCTTGCGCGAGCAAGCGGGCAGACGGGGGTCGGACAGCTTCTCGTACTCGCACACCAGGTTCTGAAGCATGCGGTCGGCAGTAGTGATCTTGTACATCTGGTTCAGGTCGATCTTGCCCAGCTTCTCGATGTAGACGGGGCGGCCATCCTGTTTGTTGCGGGATCATATCAGTATTGCATCTTGAGAGAAAGAGAGGCGTAGAAGCCACGGGAAAACAAACCTTGTCGGTCTTGTGGTAGTACTGAGGGTAGAACTTGAAGACCTCCTCCTTCTCGGGGTAGTCGAAGGTGCGAGCTAGATCATCGGTGCCGAACTCCTTGCGCCACTTCTCGCTGGCAGTGAACCTGGGATATCAAATTAGATCATTAGGCCTCAAAAAAGCAAAAAGCAAAAAGCCCGGAGTAGAAAGCTTTCTGCCAGCTTTCAAAAAAGAACATCCATGCACTCTGGAGAATCGAGGGACATACATAGTCTTGGCAGCCTCGACATCAAACTTGCGGGCACGCAGGAATCGCAGGAGGGTCAGCGTATCCAAACGCTCAGTGTAGCCGAGCTTCTCAAGCTCAGCGCGGAGCTGGTGCACCTTGGCATCCTGTTCGGGGGTGGTGTGGCCGGGGTGGCCAGGCTGCGCTTCCGGAGCGGTGGTGGGGAAGTCGTACTGGTCGTACTTGGGGTCGGTAGGCAACTGGGATTCTGTGGCCGCCATTGTGATGGATGGGAGGTATATGGTCGAGGGGGAAGAGGAGAGTTGTTGTTCTGGAAAAAGGGCGGGAGACGGAGGGGGAGACTGGCGTAAGTGGCCACTTTAAGATAAAAAACCAGCCTGGAGCATCCTTGGGGATCGTCCAATGATATTGCTTATTATCGAACAACCACAATTAAGCCATTCTATCAAAATGAAATTTTAAGATTTACAGGGGTTAGGCTACCGTCATTTTGCGTTGACTGCTTGACTGGTTTGGTGTGTTACTGGGTTTTGTTACTTGGGCCCGAAGGATCGACTATATTGTATGTGGCATATATGTTGTATACAACATAGAATAGCACTTCCTGTCTGAGTTCCCGACTCCAGATCGGTACTATGCTTTTACTGTATTATTCCAACTACACCAGGCATACTCAGAAAGAAGATTTTACTCGAGAAAAAGGGGCAAGCGAGGGGCAAACGTGGCGGTGTCGAGGTGTCAGTGACGAATCCACTCTGCATGTCAGTGGACACCAGCATTTGACATATTTGACCTACGAGAGAAGACAACAGAGATATCAGAGTAGCTCACAAGTCCCGAAATGAATTGTAATATGCCTAGGCACTCTGTAGAGGAAAAAAAAAATCATTCACAACATAACATACGGGTATTCAATTGAAAACAGTTCAACATTCAGCACACATCGCAAACAGGCATTATTATACACAGCGCACGAAGACCGGAGAGGTCTGGGCGGTGATGGAAACACAAAGCAGAAAGACATGCCGGGGGATTATAGGACTCGGGGCCCCAATGAAACCGGGGGGGAAAAACAAATGGCAACAACTATGCGCTGGGTATAGACATTGAAAGGACGGGGAAAAACGTAGGAAAAGACAAAGCATAATAAGAAAGACGGGGTAAACGACACAAAGGGATATACCAAAAATCACAGGATCATCGACATCCCCCCGTACCAGCGGGGAGACGGTCTTGATCATTCTCCATTAAGAGTATGTTCGTGTGTCAACAACATTCACAAAGGCCATGTGCCCGAACTGCATGGGCAGATTGCAGTCCTTGTATAGAGCAGTCATCTAATCCATTAGGTGGGATGGAAAGGCATGACATATATTGGCGTCCATCATCATCGCAAGATTAAGCGCCCAGGGCACTGTCGATGGTCCGGTAGAAAAGAAGACCTTAACCGGGCAGAGTAATTGGGGAGGCTATTCGACCTCTGCTCGAGCTCATCATTCATCAAAGGGTGGCAGACTTTAGGAAGCCTGGGGCATATAGCACCTTTACCACCCCTTCTTTCGTGCAAATCGTTTGTTTAGAAGTGTAAGCACCTTGGTGACATTGAACTGGACATACTCCAGATCGAGGTCCTCAAGATTGTCCTTTTGCATCTCTAGGAGATCGTCCAGCTTGAGATCAAGCTCCAGTAATCCACGGGCTCGTCCTAAATAATGGGTTAGTAATAATATTCCTTTTTTTTCCCACGTGATTAAATCCGAGAGCTCTCACCTTTATAGTGCAGACTAATGACGAAGGTTCCTGGCAAGGGACTCTTGAACATAAAGTAGATGTTCGCCCGTCGGTTTTCTGGCACATTGCTGCGCCGGATGACACCCTCCTTCTCCAGCTGCTGATGGGTGAACTTGTACGGGCCAAGTTCCTGATTCTTGGGCGTCTTGCCGCCGCGGATTTTACCCTCGGACTGACTACGCACGTTGTGGAGGTAAGACTTGTACGTCTCGAGCTGGCCGACCAAGTAAGCATTGTGATCGCGGATAGTCGCGAAAACTTCCTCGAGCTTCCGCGTCTCTTCCAGGACCTTCTCTTTGAGGGAGCCTAGATGCACTAGCTCCTGCTCCACTTCGTCACGAAGGAGACTGAACTCATCGGAGCGGTCAATCACGCCCATGTCTTGCAGTTGGCTGAGTAGTTCCATGGTTCGGATGCCCTTGCGCACCATCACGGCATCATTTTTCAAGGTTGCCGCGGCCTCGGCAATGCGGTCGAGGCGTAAAGGTCGGCGCGCAACTGAGGTGTTCTGAGGCAGGGATCGCAGGATTTGGACAAAGGTTGACTTGGCCTCCATGAAGAATACTTCTTCCTGGGTGATATCGAGAGCGGCTGTCAAATCATCAAGTGCAGTCTCCCATTTGCTGAACAAAGGTACGGTGATGGTTCGATTTTCCTTGCGAGGAACCTGAGGGGGAGCACCACCCAATTCTTGGAGCAGCACAGACAGGTGCGAGTATTGGTCTTGAGCAAGCGCTGAACTGTGTTTCTCTAGAAGACCGTGCATGACATACATTTCATTGAGAGTGATCTGGAGCTCAAGATCGCGTTTCGACAAGGCCACATAGTTGTCCATTTCAAGACTCTCATAGAAATCCTGGACTTCACACAGATCCAGCAGGAACTTGTTGACACGCTCTTTGTTTTGCTGAATGAAGGGCTGCAGGCTGGCCATGTAAGGTTCCTTGGCGTAAGAAGGTTTGTTTGCGAGGTTCTGAATCATCTTGGCGATCAGCGTTAGGGTACGGCGAGGCTTATCCGTTGGCGTAGCATCGATCAGCATGTAAGAGCGAGGTGTAACGATTGCCGGGTTTATGAAGCGCAGGAAGAAGAAACCACCAATAAGAGTGCAGATGGTTTGGTCCTGGGCATCGGGATACTTTCTGCGTGACAGACTGCGAATCTGCTTACAGATCCATCTAATGCCATACGGAGCCTCGTCTACCGACTCAATGATGGTTGTGATGAATCCGTTCGCGATCTCCGTCAACATTGTCAAACGTGGGGCAATGATGGCTTGCACCTGCGCATTTTCGGCAGCAGCTTCAGCAGTCACAGATCGAGCCAAGTAATCCGGAAGAGAGCCGGTTTCTTCTTCGATCTGTTTAATCATGCTTTCATAAACCTTCAAGGGGTTGATCTCCAGATCCACGTCCCGCAACTCGATCAGAGCGTTGATCTGGTCTGCTAGTACCTGCTTCAAATAACTCTGGCCGGGACCACGGCGCGTGTAGGTCGTCATCATGCGAGAAACTGGGGTGTTTTGACGCAACAGGGACGAGTACTCCGGTGTGTTATCGAACTGGTAGGTGAGGACGGACTGGAACATAGTAAGTAGAAGATGCTCTTCGCGACTCTCGTACTGGTTTCCGTAGATAGTGAACATGACGGTCTGGAGGAGGGAATCGATCTCGGCCATGGAAACGAGTCGGCAGAGGTGGGCGATGTGGCGGGGTTCTGATTGTAGGAGGAAAAGGAGATTTCCGTATTTCTGGGTTCGTTCATCGTTGGGGAAGAACCCTTCCTGCGGGTCTGCGGTATCGTCGAGATGGCTAGCGACTTCATTTTGCTGGACAGAAAAATAACAGGTTAGCGAATGTGTCGTTTTCCGCGGTGATAGAATCCTTACTTCTTCCAACGCCATCCGATTCTGGATTAGCAATGCGATTCGTGAGTCCAGGTATCGCACATCCTTTTCCAACACGAAGTTCTTTTTCGATTGTGATGAAATCCTCGACTTCAGATCCCGCAGGTGCTTTTGTGCTGTCGGAGGATTAGCGCGACCATTGGGGGGGATCAACCAGAATTAAACATACCTCGTGCCAAGTCATCGGAAATCTCTAAGTCTCGATCTTTGGCGGACATGGACAGGTACAGGGCCGTGACCGACATCCGCTTGGATTGGCGGAGCGACCGAGTATCGTGCGACGACATTGTGTTCTGTCGTGCCACGGGCTGAAACGAGGAGGAAGAGGAGGAGGATGCCCGCGACTGTCTGGATGCAGGTTGTAGCATCGTCGCAACGGACATTGTGAAATTCGGGGGGGTCGTCAAGGGTTGGCTACGGATGCCAATGGCGTAGGGACCAGGAAACGGGAGGACCCTAAGGGGGAAAACACCCGTACCAAGGATTGGAGGGGTTTTCGAGAGTGACGGTACTCCGTACTCCGAATCAGTAAAAGTAAAAAGGAAGATTCAAATGAAAGAGGGGGAGGTTAAGGGTAAAATAAAGTCAAGCAGAGTCAAGTAAAGTAAAGAGGGGAGAGATTATTTATTTCGTTAGTTCGCTGTTAGGGCGGTTCTGGGGAACAATGATGTTGGAAGTGGATTTTCGATTTTGTTTTTTTTTTGTTTTTTTTTTTTTCTCTTTTCTTTTCTCTTTCTTTTCTCTTTTTATATATTATTATTTTATTATATTCTTTTTCACTAAACAAGTACAATATTCTCTCTTTCTCTGTTATATAAAAAAAGAAAAATGGGAATGATACGTATCTTGTTATGCAAGGGGACAGCCTTTTTTTTACCCCTGGCCCAATGCACTTCGCCACTATTAGGAACCACCCTCCTTTCTACGGAGTACTCGGTAAAAATTATGGATTATGGACTGGTAGGAAGATCTCGATCAACATCCTTGTCTTCCAAAGGATTTGGTCAATGCGTACTAGCTCCAAATCCTCGGACTGTGCACTATATTATACTCGTACATCGTACATATATAAGAGAACTTCTTGACGTCAGATCTCTCTTCTTGTTTTTTTTTTTTCCATCTAACGGTTTTCATGTGAGAAAAAGCAAAAAGAAAACCAAAAACACAAACACAAACAAGTAAAAACGTATTACAGGAAGGTGACACGGTTTCATGTCTGCAGGGGGCTAATCGGTACCTGCGTCTATATACCTACGGAGTAGTAGGTAAAAGACTTGGACCCGTTCAGGCTAAGCCCACGAGACCTCCATGTGGATGTCTCGGGAATGTTATTTTGTATATTAGGTGCTGTATACGGAGTATAATATAGTATTTTATATATTATATCAATTGGAATGGGAATCATATATATGAACACGGATACAATCTTCGTGTTGAACTACTCGGCACAGTACCCTGGTTTCAGGTTGATTCGGATTTGGGGACTCCGTACGCAGAAGGTTAATCAAAAGGTGATTTCCCATACCAAGTATGTTGCCTTATCAATTAATTACGCGTATTCAA